TCAGTATTTCTTTAAAAGGACAGGATCTTTCTCAAATTTCATATGCAGGTCCCCCTAGTTGTTCCCTTTTGGTTATGGGACTGTTCAGAAAACATAATGGTTTACTTGTGACAGTCTTTGATTTGGCAGCTTGAGATTATTATCAATGATTTTGAATTCCATATCATAGAGAGCAGAAACAGAAGAAAGAAGAGAAAAACAGAAAAGGGCCTAATTAAGATAACAAATAAATATCAGACAGCGAGGGCCAAATGTATCAACAATGCTACAATATATCCTTATATATATATTTACAACATAATTCAGTAACAACTAATGTGGAGGGCCTACAGCCAGGTGAGATAATGTCCAGATCAATAATATTTCAGTATACAGTGGAGGGCCTACAGCCAGGTAAGATAATGTCCAGATCAATACTATTTCAGTATACAGTGGAGGGCCTACAGCCAGGTAAGATAATGTCCAGATCAATAATATTTCAGTATACAGTGGAGGGCCTACAGCCAGGTAAGATACTGTCCAGATCAATGATATTTTATTGTACAGTGGAGGGCCTACAGCCAGGTAAGATAATGTCCAGATCAATGATATTTTATTGTACAGTGGAGGGCCTACAGCCAGGTAAGATAATGTCCAGATCAATGATATTTTATTGTACAGTGAAGGGCCTACAGCCAGGTAAGATAATGTCCAGATCAATGATATTTAATTGTACACTGACGGGCCTACAGCCAGGTAAGATAATGTCCAGATCAATGATATTTCAGTATACAGTGGAGGGCCTACAGCCAGGTAAGATAATGTCCAGATCAATAATATTTCAGTATACAGTGGAGGGCCTACAGCCAGGGAAGATAATGTCCAGATCAATAATATTTCAGTATACAGTGGAGGGCCTACAGCCAGGTAAGATAATGTCCAGATCAATGATATTTTATTATACAGTGGAGGGCAGTAAGATAATGTCCAGGGTATACACTACAGCCAGGTAAGATAAGATCAATGATATTTCAGTATACAGTGTCCAGGTAAGATCAATAATATTTCAGTATACAGTGGAGGGCCTACAGCCAGGGAAGATACTGTCCAGATCAATAATATTTCAGTATACACTGACAGGCCTACAGCCAGGTAAGATACTGTCCAGATCAATAATATTTCAGTATACAGTGGAGGGCCTACAGCCAGGTAAGATACTGTCCAGATCAATAATATTTCAGTATACAGTGGAGGGCCTACAGCCAGGTAAGGTAATGTCCAGATCAATACCTTTTTTCAGTATACACTGACAGGCCTACAGCCAGGTAAGATAATGTCCAGATCAATTTTTTTCATATTTGACAGGCCTACAGCCAGGCAAGATAATGTCCAGATCAATACCTTTTTTCAGTATACACTGACAGGCCTACAGCCAGGGAAGATAATGTCCAGATCAATAATATTTCAGTATACACTGACAGGCCTACAGCCAGGTAAGATACTGTCCAGATCAATGATATTTTATTGTACAGTGGAGGGCCTACAGCCAGGTAAGGTAATGTCCAGATCAATACCTTTTTTCAATATACACTGACAGGCCTACAGCCAGGTAAGATAATGTCCAGATCAATACTTTTTTTCAGTATACATTGACAGGCCTACAGCCAGGCAAGATAATGTCCAGATCAATACCTTTTTTCAGTATACACTGACAGGCCTACAGCCAGGTAAGATAATGTCCAGATCAATGATATTTTATTGTACAGTTGAGGGCCTACAGCCAGGTAAGATAATGTCCAGATCAATGATATTTTATTGTACAGTGGAGGGCCTACAGCCAGGTAAGATAATGTACAGATCAATGATATTTTATTGTACATTGGAGGGCCTACAGCCAGGTAAGATGATGTCTAGATCAATGATATTTCAGTATACAGTGGAGGGCCTACAGCCAGGTAAGATATGTCCAGATCAATACTTTTCTTTCAGTATACTTTAAAGAATGCTTTGATGATTTAACAATCAGGATGTAGTGTTCAAAGCTGCGAGTTAACCTGTAGTGTGTGAAAATTTTTATTGCTTTCATTGAGAAAACATTTCGTATAACCTGTCTGAACAAATCTACAGCAGATGTGAAATGGTGAAGAATGCCTCAAATATTGTTTTAATCTATATTTGAAAATTTTCACTAACCACTTGTTAAAACCAAGCTTTGAGCAAGTGAGGCCTGGTAATAAATTGCACTTCCTGACTTGGTCTAGTTTGTTGTGGTAGGTATACATATTGAACTTACCCAGTAATTAGACCACTTTTTGGATGGAATTATTTATTACTACCCTTTGATCAGATTGAAACAGAAATGTGCCTATATTTAATCCTCACACTTTTGCAACCTTGTGAGGCCAGATTTTACACAATATAATGGCACCATCTTTATACTGCAATAAGTTCAAAGAGCCAACATTTCACTTCATTTTTATGATGTTTTGTCCTTTACAGCAACTAACTATGCATTCCGTGTGGCTACAGTGAATGATGCTGTGTCACCCCATTCCAACCAGAGTTCATTTAGCACACAGGTGGGATGTTGGACCAGAGCTGCTAGTGAGTAGAATCATATTATTCATTCAATCTTTTAGTCACTGCTGTACAGATTATGTAACCTTTGTTATGTCAAGTCTCATTATACACACAAGATAATGTTAGTCCATCTCATGTACAATGATATAATGTTGGTTGTAAAAAAGTATTACAGATGAGATATTACAGTGAAAAATATATAAATATTGTCATATTTATTTGTTGTAATGTTCGATTATAATCAGTAACATTTTGATTTTATACTCTTTTTTCCAAATTAACATCAAACAACATCACCTTTATAAATCATTATATTGTAACAGCTTGTGGGGGCTGGTAAGGGACATGTATTACTTAAGCAATACTCTGTGTTTTTATCTTGTTATAACAATGTAATTGTAATAAAACCTAGAAACAGCACACAAATTTTAGGGAAGAAAAGCATTGTAAAAGCAGTTACATACTACAACAAATGCTAATTCAATATTATTATTAAATTATAGTTTATATACAATAAGTTCTCCTTGCTAGCTGACATAGCAATTTTCAATTAAAATTTTCATTATGTATCAGTGTTAGTGATTTTCCTTGCCCTGCAGGCATTATAATTTTGTTTATTTATGTATGCTAATGAGTTCTGGTTGATGCTAATTAATTGACCAATCAGCGTTCTCGGGGAGGATGCCCTGTTAGGGATCTGAAGGCCCCGCAGCATATAGTTTCTGAGTTTTTGGTGGAGGCATTTGTTTGTGAAATTTGTGCATTCCCACCCACCGTCCCCGGCTACACCATTGGTTTTATTTTATACTCATGTATTTTTTGTTTTAGTTTCATGTGCAACAGTTACAAGATAACCATATTTTTATGTATAATGGGCTACTCACTCTTAGTAACTTAAGGGGGGGGTTGTATTTTCTGCATTTATCCGTTTCTTATTAATATTTGTTTTTACCTGCGTGCTATCACTCTATTAAACATGCGTTCATTTTTTGGCACTAAATTCTTGGGGAATTTTACGCCCAATTCATAATAATAGAATATTCCCAATTTGTTTCAGCTTCTCTCATATCGTTGAGGGTCTAGCTAACATTTCCAGCTTCTCTCATATCGTTGAGGGTCTAGCTGGTGGTGAATATTCTATTTATAATGCTGTTTTCTAGGGCCACTTGCAGAGTCTAGTAGCTTCTCTGGTATCATCCAGGGTCTAGTAACTTCTCTGTAGGGACTCTTAATCTAGCTCTGAAACAGCTCAGTCTTATTTTAAGTTATAATTTTTCTAGTAGTTAATAGTGATTATGAATAGAGTGAGTAGCCCCTGTTACGCCAAACCGTAGCTTGTCTATTTTCTTTAGTGTAATAAACATTTAACTGTTCTTGTGTTTTCTTGTTGTATATAAATGCAATATTAAAACTGACTCTAGATACTGACTTTCCAAATAATGTACATCAGTGAGTGCAGAACTGGAGCCACAGTAAGATCATACTGCAGTCGGGAAACTGGTCTGTAATCACAAAACAGTCAATTAATATCACACTTTCTTCTGTAGCAATTTCTAATTGTGTTTCTGTCGGCAGAATGGGGATTCACCTATATGTTACATTCAACAGCACAATCGCTGATCTAGTCTCTATGCAAATTTGAATGTTTCCCATACTGAGAAAATAATAGTTCCCACACAGTCTTATATCTCAAACAAGTATGTATTACCATCCATTGAGTTCAGGATGTTGACAAATCCTCATTCATTTACTGTTTCCAATTCAGCATTAGTGAGAAAAAAAGGAAATATTCCCAAAATCGTCACACACAGTATTTGTATGTTGTGTTCCTTCACAATATAAAGTTCACTTAGAATATAATCTTTATATCAAAACCTTGAAAAAAATGTTCTTTTTTAGCTCACCTGGTCTGAAGAAAGTTAATCCTTAAGTTAACACACTGTGTTAAAAGGCAATTTTTAAGGGACTTAAAAGGGACATCTGTGGCATGTAGATCCCCTAAACAAAGGATAAAATTAGTCACATTAACAGAAGTTTCAACCCTCTAATAGTGATTCTCATTAACATATATTGCAATTTTTAACTACTCTGTATATTTTCTGTTTTACAGTGTCACAAGAACCAAATACCTTAATTGTATCACTGGAACAGAGTCGACAGTTCACCCTTAACTGGACGAAACCTTCCATTACCAATGGCAATCTAAACGGATACAGACTGACAGTGTTTGAGGGGAGCACGTGTGTCCAGGAAGTCATCTTCAAATGTGAAACCTGTACAGGGGTAACGTAGATTTCTTATTGTATCTGTAATATATACCCAGTCTGATCTGGTACAGAAAATTGTGTGTGCTGTAGTAGGAATATAATAATTATTTGTATTACGATGATTACATATGTGAAGCAGTAAGTATTTTATTGTAGCCAGTATGGTTAATTGGCAATTTTGTAAGTCGTTGTGCACTGTATGCATTCTGCTGTGTGTAAACTTTCCATTCAAACAACTTCTTCTCTATAACCAAAAGGCTGAGGGTGCTGATATTAGGCCTGTGGCATGCTGGGGTGACAGACTACCAATTTACTTCAAATTAATGACCTCGACCAACTTTCAAGGTCACAAGGGTCAAATATGATAAAATCTTTTAATGGCTTCTTCTTACTAACTTAAGTCCTCAGCATGCTGATATTAGGTCTTTAGTATCTTGAGAGGTAGGACTATTAAATTTGTTCAAAGGAATTACTTTTGCCCACTTTCAATGACAGGGGTCAAACACGTTTAAAATCTTTAAACAATTTCTTCTCAATAATCAAAAGCTGCAGTATGATGATATTGGGCCTGTAGCATGCTGGGAGGAAAGGCCACCAAGTCTAATTAAAATAAATGATGTTAACCAACTTTCAAGGTCACAGGTGTCATATGTGTTCAAATCTGCCACAACTTCTCAATAACCAAAAGGCTAAGGCTGCTGATATGTTGGTTCTGTAACATAATTGGATGAAGGATTAACAAATTTATCCAAATGCTTGACCTTGGCCCTTTTTTAAAGAATTAAAAGTTTCCTCTTTTAACAAACAATAGGTCCTGGGTCAGCTGTGAAATAGCTTCAATTTTTGTATTCCTCTTCATTATGTAATTTACAAATCCCCCAAACATTTTTACTTCAGTTTCACAGACTCTGGTTTTACCATTTAACAGTCAATCTGTTTGTTGTCCATAAAAACTCCTTGTTAAATACTTGGTCAATTTCAGTGAATTTTGTGAAATTGATGATTTTGCTGAAATTTCTTATGGACCTTGTTTGCTCATATTCAAGGTTTGGATGTCTGTAATTTTATATAATAGCTCTTGAAGTTTGGACAGCTGCCGACCAAAGTTTCACAAGTAAACAAGTAAACAAGCAATAACATGAATATACTGTTCTGTATTCCAGTTTACAAGTTTTGGACATACAAGTTCATGCCAACTGACAGCCAAACAATCAGTGGTCATTCTGCCTGCAGACATAGAAGGCTACACTTACACTGTGGAGAACCTCAATCCATATATCAACTACACTATTCATGTGTTGGGTGTTAATGCAGCAGGGGATGGTCACCCTAATATAATATATGGCATGACAGAACAGGAAGGTATGTAACTGTAAGAATTCATTGAGCAATTGTTGTTACATTTCAAGATGTTATAATCTATATAAATCCACAATTTAAAAATATTCTTAGATATGTCCTAAACGTATGATTTCAATAAAAGTCTGCCTCACCAATTTGTAAAAAAATCCATTTTATTTCCTTCCAGTCAATAAAACAGTGAACTGTTAACCGCTGAAGGACTGTTTAGCTTATGGATATTGTCGTTGACTGTGGCCATATTAACTAAGCATAAATTAAATAATGAAGTGAATTCATTATTTTTGATAGATTTAATAGCTTTGCAGAGTTATCATTATCAAATTTTTTGAGAAAATATATAGCTATGCAACCAAATTTACTGGAGTGAAAACAAAAATTAATATCTGTGAAAACAAATTGGTTTAAAATATATCTGGGACAATTTGTCAGTAGAATTTGATCTTGGCCATGTAATGTATTTTCTTATGCAAGCTGAATAGCAAGGTCAATATTTTTGAAATGTGTATATAGTATACAAGATTTATCTTCTTATGTCAGTGGTTTGATACTGTAATAGGAGTTATTTCCCTTTGATTTGTTGACATTATATTTTAGATGAATGAGAATATAAACACTGACAGGAAATTTATGGAATGTTTGATTGTCAGAAAAGAGTAATTTGTCTCGCCACTTTGCAGGAGCAGAAATGAATCTACAGTGTCACTAATTTGTCATGGCTCGCATCAACCACAATAAGTTAATTGTCTTTAGATCACTATTCATTATTGTTTTTGGACAGTTTAGTAAGACAAAGAGTTACAGAATACAAGACAGCATTCCACAGATTTCTATTTATCACATATGTAACTTGTGTTCTTCTCTAGTTCCACAGAATCCCACTGCTCTGACAGCTGAGGTTTTGAGTAGTACAGCAATACGCGTGTCTTGGGCCATCAGTGATCCAGAGCCTGGACCGACCAGTTATACCTTGTATATAATACCAGAAACACCAGAGCAAAGTCAAACTGTAACCATACAAGGTGATTAATTATCAATTATGGACCTTTGATGAAGTCAATATTGTATGTGTTATATAGAAAATTATTGACCGAGGTAGAAACATTATGTAAATACCTCACTCTGCCTACACTGTATGTAATGCCAGAACCATCAACTCGATCAGACACATTGCCAGAACACTGAGATAAGGCCAGGTAATAGGTGTCAGGCAGAAGGAAAACCTGTAACATTTACTATTGTACAATATAAATGTCTGGGTAGTAATTTTATATGGTTGACTCATCAGTCAGTTTAGTCTGTTGAAAAATTTTATATATTATATTGTTGTCTCTAAGTCATCATTGCGCTAGAAGATAACTTGGGCTTGACAAGTACCTGTTTCAGGTTGGTTTCAACCCCAATCGGAATGGAAATGTGTACCCGTTTACCTGAGTCAGTATCACCTAGTACTATTGTAAAATGTTTTGAAGTACCTCTATGCCGTTGTAGGCGGTCTGTTGATAAAAAACAATGTTTGATATGCATGTAAACATATATATCTGCTGTATGAACAGCTGCTTTGTTGCACTGACAGTTGACACTTTCTCATGGCCAAGAAACGTGCAACAGCCTAGACCTAACACTAGGAATTCCTCAATATACACAAGGTATACATGCACATCCAAGACACATTGAACGGATATTCAACATGGCTTCCTAGATTAAATCGTATGATAATTTTAACTCTACAAAGTCTGAAAACAGATTGTAGCAGTTATTTTCCTGACATAGTCGATAATATCCAGACTACCATGTATGTCTTAATCATGTTGGTTAACCGATAATACTTGAACAATTGGCATTCATCACCAATACCATCCTTTCTTGAATTTGTGGTGAACATGTTACTAAAACTTGCAGGTATCCAGGTATGGGTCAGGTTGCAATGATTTAGTACCCAGGGCAAAATTTGTGTACCTGTGACAGCCCTTAAAAGAACATGTGATTTTCTAAATAGTTATGCACGCATAGATAAATAGATAATTCAGACATGTCTTAGGTATTCATAAAACAATAAATAGACATACACTTATGCATCCTCACATTTGTTGTTTGTTGTCAAGGATTCTCCACCAGGACGTACAATGTGACAAGCTTACAGGAGTACAGAACTTACCAGTTCAATCTGACAGCCTCTACTGTATTAGGGACAGCTGTATTCCAACAGTCATTACCAAGCGCCAAAACAAATGCTGCAGGTATGGTTTGATTTTCAATTATGTGAGCCAGAATCTAAATTCAGTAAGTGACTGACTCCATCCTTCCAAAACTTGTTATCTTAGTGGAGTTTTTTAGTTGCTTGCTGTGAAAAGTCTAGTCTATGTATGGTGCTACATAAAAGTTTTGCATTGAGTTGTGTAGCTCAAAAAATTTAAGTCTGATGTAAACCAACTTTGGTGTATATAGCTAGGTATGTAGTGGACATTTCAACACATCCATCATTTATAAAATATTTTGCTGATTTATGATAAAGCAACTCTGAAAGTTAGAGTTGGAAACACATAAAGGGAATGTTTTTTGCCTTTACTACTAAATCATTCTGAACTGTTTCTATCATTTCATAACTGTTTCTACTACTAGGACAGCTGTTATATCATACTGTATATAGGTAATAATAGTTAGATGACTGTTAAGGTCCATGGACCATCTGTTGTGGATTTCAGCCATCAGATTGATGACGTACATGTTTTTTCACCTCATGTGTTTTAATTTTCTCTAAATACATAAAAACATAAAATTAACCCTTTTCTTTCAACTGGCGAAAGGGTGAAACAGATGGAAGTCAAATGATACTTCAATCTCAGAATATAAATGTAACATAACAATTATGTACATTGTATATCTGTCAGTTCAAATTTTGAATGAAACTGGACTGTCATGTTCAACAATTAGCCCAGTTTCTCATCAGTACCAGACATGGTGCTATTTCATGCAAACCTGGAACTTAGTCATATTGTAGTATCTTCATCTGAGCCCACCAAAGAGGTTATATGTGTTGAGTATTTAAAAATATTTTTTGGGAAAAAACTTCAGATTTTGAGGAATTACTATGTCTTTATAGCTTGTTCTATTCTTTTCTCAAATACTTCAGGTTCCCCTTGATGTCATTTTTATGCCATTTTGATTTTGAGATTATCAGGAAAACAAAATGGTTGACAGGCAGCCATCTTGGATTTTGACAATGAAAGTTTGCTATTGCTGCTTCTGGAGAAGAAATTGATGGATCTTTCATAAATTTCATATGACGGTTTCTTTTGATTTTGGAACTGATCTTAAAACAAAATGGCTAAAAGGTGACTTTCTTGGATGTTGACTAAGAAAGCTTGATATGGATATTTCTATAGAAATTCTGGATGAAACTTTCTTAAATTACATATGAAGGCTACCTTTGGCCCTTGGTTGTGCCTTTTTGATCTTTGGGTTGATCAAAAATGCAAAATGGCTGACAAGTGTCCATCTTTGATTTTGACAATAAAATTTTGTGATCATCATATATTTCTTCAGATGTTCAGATGAATCTTCTCAAATCATTGTAGGTTCTTCTTACAATTGGCCCCTAGATGTGCCCTTTTAATTTTGAGACTGGCCAGAAAAACAAAATGGCTGATAAGTGGCTGTCTTGTTTTCATCCAAAATCAACAAGTGCTTTAAGGTTGTTCTCCCATATTTTTTCACCTAACATGAAAGTGCTGATTTAACTTTTTTTTTCAAATTTATAGTAACATTAATAAAAAAATCTGCGGTTTTTGTATTTTTTCTCCATTGACAATGGGTGAAATAGATGGAAGTCAAATAATGCTAAATATCCAATTATATATATTTAGTTAGGTTTTGCATTTAGGTGTGCATTTCTCCATTTATTTTGATAACTGTTTCTGGTTGCTGATTTTTGGCATAGAGAGTTATATGTTGACATTATACAGTTAAATGGTAGACTAACCAAGAAGACATAACAACTTCCGGTTAGCGCCTGATAAGGCTTGCTCCCGTTAGCTCGTGACAATTTTTTATAATTTTCACGAATTGGTGAATTTATCCTGGCTGATATTGGCCAGATTATTGTTTAAGTAGTTCTAGTTTACTTTTACGCTCCCACTTACTTGGTGAATAATATAATCATTTCACATTTTAGATATTTAATTTCCAACACACGAGATCATTACCGTTGATGTGGGACGAAGAGACTCAAATTTCTAACGTATATAGATCATAGAGCTTTTTGTGATTTTTCGGCCACTTTTTGACATCTCGCCCACTTAACAAAACATCTAGATAAATATTACATCTTGACTGAATTTATTTTCTCTGCTTAGTTCTAATAACATGTTCTGTTAACGTATAAGTTGATACGGACATCTGTTATTGTATTACATGACATTATATAGCACTCGACGAGTCATACGTAAATTTCTAATTAATACGGTATGACACAATTATTTAGACCATTTTGACATTTTAGTAACATTCTTTGATTACATAATATCATATTCAAAAGTAATAATTGAAGAACTCTATTTATTCTTTAACTGACGAGTTTGTCATTCAACTATATTACATCGGAAACGACATTTTGTCCACTAATACACTAGGGTAATAACATTTAGTATAATAATCTGTTCTCATTTAAGTTTGTGTAATTGATTAAATATGTTACAGTACTGTAGATCTGTTCTCCTGGCACTGAGACCAGTGAGTTTATCTAGTGTTAGAAAATGTTTGAATGTTAGACAAACGTCGAACGGGACCAACAATTACGTTCGTATGAGACGAGGCACACGTGCAGGCAGGGGCGCTGTCAGACCGATACGTAGTGTGATCGGTATTACGTGTACCCCTGGCAAAGCAAACAGCAACAGTGGTGTAAATTACAACAATCTCGTCCAGATAATCACCACAAATGGTATGTCAACATCGCAACCACCCTTGTCTGGACATGCTGCAGCAACAGCAGAGGTATCAGTCATCAGAACCATTGTGCAGCCGCGCTTCGATGTTAACAGGTGGAAACCAATAACATCTATATTGCACGATAACTTGGTTGTCATCAAACCAACGACTGAGAGTCAGCAAAAGCCTGCCGTCTTGCTTAATTTAGTATCGCTAAATTGTCGCTGGGTGAAGAACAAGTCATTGTCTATCAGTGACTTCATTACATCTCGGGATATCAATATTCTAGCAATAACCGAGACTTGGCTGGGCTCAACCATTGATGACCAAATTCTTGCTGAGCTTATACCAACAGGCTATGACATTCTCCACAATGCTAGACAAGGCAGACATGGTGGAAGAGTGGCTGTCTTGTTTAAGAAAGGATTAAGTGTGAGAAATCTCGATTCCAACAACGAGGATTCCTATACACACTTTGAGCACATGACGTGTTCCGTCACCACTTGTGATACACAATTCAGACTGCGTCATATACAGGCCTCCCCCTTCTAAATGGAACAGTCTCCGTAACAAAGTCTTCTTTGATGAATGGTCTTCATATCTCGATCAACAGGTTGTAGCGCCACAGGAGCTGATTATCGCTGACGACCTGAATTTCCACTTGATGATAACACTAATGTTGATTCCCGACAATTCGCCGGAATCCTTGACTCCCGGGGGATGATACAACATGTGACAGAAGTTACCCATTCACATGGTCATACACTAGATGTGATTATCACAAGGGGAAGTACTTCTCTAATCCACGGAGCAATTCTAGTTGCAGATCCATGTCTGAGTGACACTAAGGGAAACCTATCTGGTGATCATCTTGCTGTCTAGGCCACACTAAATTGTGGTAAACCAAAACGTGCCAGAAAAGAGGTCAGCTTCCGGAAATTCCGCGAAATTTCTTTACCTGATTTCATCAAAGACATTCAGTCATCTTCCGTCCTTCAGACTACTGAGGGTGGAGTTGACTGTCTTGTTGAAGCATATAACTCTGGTATCGAGGCTCTGATCGAGAAGCATGCACCTCTTCACTGTCAGACCTAACGCGCCTTGGTACAATGAACAACTTCGTGATGCAAAACAATTGCGGAGGAAGGCGGAGAAACGTTGGCAAAAGACCAAACTAACCATCCATTGCCAGATATACAGAGAACATTGTCGGGCAGTCAGTTCACTACTCATTCAACGTAAGAAGGATTATTATTCAGGAAAAGTCACAGAATGTGGATCGGATACAAGACAGCTTTTTAGACTCACCAGAGACCTTATGGGACATACTGGTGAAATCGCCCTACCAAGCTGTTCTTCTGAAAAAATCTTGTCCAACAAGTTCAGTGATTTTTTCCAGGATAAAATCAAAACAATCAGGCAAAAGATTGATGTTGTGAACTCAACTTCCGACACTGGCATCTCTGCCATGGATGCCGATATCCAATTCTCTGGTGAACCTTTGACGCAGTTCACTCCAACAACTGAAGAAGAATTGCGCAAGATCATTACAAACTCTCAATCGAAATCCTGTGAGCTGGACCCGCTTCCCACAGTTTTACTGAAGCAATGTCTTGATGCACTGCTCTCCTTGATCACCTTAATCATGAATAAATCATTAGCAGAGTCTAGGGTTCCATTGTGTTTCAAGAAGGCTAATGTAAGACCACTGCTGAAGAAGCCTGGACTGAACAAGGAAGAATTAAAGAACTACCGTCCGGTGTCAAATCTCCCTTTCTTATCTAAGATCTTGGAGAAGATTGTGTCCCAGCGACTTGAAGCTCATCTCAATGCTAACAGTCTTCATGACAACTTGCAATCAGCCTATCGCACAGGACATTCCACTGAGACGGCCCTGCTTCGTGTCTACAGTGATATTGCTGCCTTTCTGGATAACAAGTGTAGAGCAGTTCTTATCATGCTTGATCTGTCTGCTGCATTTGATGTCATTGACCATGGCACACTGTTCAAGCGTCTGGAGTACTCTTATGGGGTGACTGGTGATGCATTACGCTGGACCCATGCAGTCTTACTTGAATGAACGACGACAGTGCGTTGCCATTGGATCAACTGTTTCAGACAGCAAAACCTTAGACTTCGGAGTTCCTCAGGGGTCCGTTCTGGGACCTAGAAAATACTGTCATTATTCGAAACCAATCGGGAAGATTTGTTGTCGTCATAACCTTCAGTACCATTGTTATGCCGACGACACACAAATCTATATGGTTATCAGACCTCAAGACAACTGGGACAATAGTAGCAAGTCTTGAAGCCTGTCTAAATGACATCAGTGCTTGGATGAACTCAAATATGCTCAAGCTCAATCAGGAAATGACATAACTTATCGTCTTTTCCCACAAGTATCAACACACTAAAGGTCTCCAGTTAAAGGTCGGTGCCCAAACTATGGAGGCCGTCCAAGCTGTGAGAAACCTTGGTGTACACTTTGATAGCTCTCTGAACATGGAGAAACAGATAAACTCAATTGCCAGTTCCTGTTATCACCAAATCAGAAACATTGGTGGTATCCGTCAGTTCAACACCACAGATGCATGCAAGACACTGGTACATTCTCTTGTTACTTCTAGGTTAGACTATGGTAACGCGTTACTCGTTGGTGTATCTGATACACTAATGAGCTGCCTGCAGAGGGTACAGAACACTGCAGCACGCCTAGTTACCTGTACTCGAAAGAGGGACCACATTACAGCAGTTCTTTACTTATTGCATTGGCTGTCCGTGCGATTCCGGTCACAGTACAAGATTTTGATGTATACATACAAGGCAATAAATGGAACAGCTCCTGAATATTTGCAAGAACTTGTCACCGTTTATCGGCCGTCACGATCACTACGATCAGAGACAGAATCCTTGTTGTGCGTTCCAAACTCTCGGACTGTGACTTATGGTAACCGGTGCTTTGGAAAGGTAGTGGCCACTTTGTGGAACAGCTTATCATCTGCTACTAGAAAGTCAAAATCCCTGGCCAAATTCAAGAGGGATATTAAAACCCACCTGTTTACGTCTGCATTTTAGACTCTCACGCAGACGTCCTGTATATACATACTTTCACCACTACTTACTTGATTTGGTTACTGTGTTACATATGTTAATTACTGTGTTATACATGTTCTATAAATTTTGTAGTAAGATTATTATGTAATTGTGAAGCGCATTAGAGTATTTTGTCAAAATAGATAGTGCTCTATATAAATGTTGTATATTATTATGTACATTATTAAGAGGCAGACATGTTTAAGTTTCCTTAGCTAGAATTAGTTAGAAGAAGCAACCTGGTCCAATTTTCTGTAAACCTACTTTGATCCCTGTACATTAAGGCAAACTCTTCAAACAAGATCTTGCCACTGGTGGAATAGTGCCCACATCCAGGACAGCTGATTAGGGCTAGGATATTTTAACCTTCAACCCTATTTTCTTTTTCTTCTGGCTACTAGAGTTTCATATACCTTTTCTTGACATTAAAATAGCCCCATATGTCAGATACCTTTTGTCCCACAAATAAGTACGACCTTTCTTAATTCTGCCGTGGAAATGGATACATTAAAATAGCCCCATTTGTCAGATGCCTTTTGTCACACAAATAAGTACGACATTTCTTAATTCTGCCCTGGAAATGGATACATTAAAATAGCCCCATTTGTCAGATGCCTTTTGTCACACAAATAAGTACGACCTTTCTTAATTCTGCCCTGGAAATGGATAGGACTGTCACCTAGTAACAAATCAATGCTTAGTATTATTTGTGTTTTACCTACCTAGCTTTAAGAAAAATTGTTTCCTATTATTCAATAGCTCCTGGACAAGTAAGCAACTTTCAAGTAGTTCGCCCAGATGGTCCAAACTTTACAACAGTGAGGGTGTCCTGGGAACTTCCAGCAATATTGGACAGAAACAGTGACATAATCAAATACATGTTCTCACACAACTCTACTGTTGGGGTAAGCTTCTAAATAATTTGATAATACTTTAGGAAAGTAAGCTTCTGTATCTATATATTGCATGACCAGAATGTAAGCTCCAGAATACAGGTATGAAAATATACACTAAAAATACTAATTAATGCAAGGTCCAGTGGTATTCTAAAAACTGTCAAATTAAAAATGACCTTTATCACCACTGATCAATATTTAATATGGCTATGATCACTGTTCAGTCATAACTACACAAGTTTTCTGTTTAATTTTCAGTCGGTAATATTAGTCAACCAACAAAATGTGTGATCCTTTTGCACAGATATGCACAAGATAGTGTTTCATGCTTGTATATGGATGATAGACAGATAATGTATGCAGGATATGTGCACGTTTTTGGTGCTGTGTGCATTACCACAACTGTATATATGACCACAAGATTGTAACTTGTGTATTGAACTCCTACTGAGGTCCATATAATTTTTAAGTTAACCTTTGATTAATTACTCATTGTTATTTTTAGTTTGAAATTACTGAATATTTCTCTATATTTTAAATTCTTTGTTTTTATCAAAACAGCTCACCTGTTTTAATAAATTTCAGAACTTGGGCACAGCCCCAGAAGAAATACTTGTCAATGGCAATCCAGCTACTATAACAAGGAACCTAAAAGTTTTACCACAGAATATTTACTATATTGAGGTGAGTAGTTTACATTTATTGTTGTATTTGAATACTGTTTCAAAGAATCTAGAAGTGCAGGCACCACAGTATATGATAATTATTCCCTATCAACAATGTCAGGGAAGAGATTTTCCTGTATCTGATGTATCTCACTTTGAATTTGTATTAAAAGGTGCTGTTCACTTTTGTGTCTTTTGTATAACTTCCAAATTAGTTCTCGAGAAGTACTGGATGGATCTTTCTCAAATTTAGGAAGTGGGTGCCCCTTAGTCCACAGTTATGCAGTTATGATCTTGTACTTATCAGAAAGACAAAATGGCTAACAAACGACTATGTTGAATATTGGCGTTTAAAATTGTTATCTTAAAGAGGAATTTCAAAATTTCCTATGATTAAGAGCAAAAATTAAGTAGAGGAAACAAAAAGAAGGGAAAAGATCCCATATTTAAAGACCAAATAAAGATCAAACAATAGTTGACACCAAGATCCCATTGGTTCCCTTGCAAAGGACCATAAGACATTGTATGACAGACGAATTGAAGTTTAAGTGTGTAAAGGTCAAGGTCACCTTTACAACTTTTAGATAAAAAACTGTTAGTACCCTAGTAAATTCCTTTCTTGAAAGATTTTGATATTTTGCACACTTTGCCATATTCATTATTGCAAATAAGTCAAGGTAGAACCCTAAGTGTATTTGTATGGGAACAGGAAGTGGAACACTAAATACTTACTATATAGTACACATGTTTCTTAAATACTTAAACTGCTATAAATCTCTAATACTTAAACTACACCTTGTTCCATTATATCTCTAATACTTAAACTACACCTTGTTCCATTATATCTCTAATACTTAAACTACACCTTGTTCCATTTAATCTCTAATACTTAAACCACACCTTGTTCCATTTAATCTCTAATACTTAAACCACACCTTGTTCCATTTAATCTCTAATACTTAAAGCACACCTTGTTCCATTTAATCTCTAATACTTAAACCACACCTTGTTCCATTTAATCTCTAATACTTAAACCACACCTTGTTCCATTAAATCTCTAATACTTAAACCACACCTTGTTCCATTAAATCTCTAATACTTAAACCACACCTTGTTCCATTATATCTCTAATACTTAAACCACACCTTGTTCCATTATATCTCTAATACTTAAACCACACCTTGTTCCATTATATCTCTAATACTTAAACTACACCTTGTTCCATTATATCTTTAATACTTAAACCACACCTTGTTCCATTATATCTCTAATATTTAAACCACACATTGTTCCATTATATCTCTAATACTTAAACTACATCTTGTTCTATTATATCTCTAATACTTAAACTACACCTTGTTCCATTATATATCTAATACTTAAACCACACCTTTTTCGATTAAATTACTAATACTTAAACCATACATTGTATTTGTGAATCACTAATGATGATACCTCTATATCTCTATCACGAATACCTACACTACACTATGTACAGGTGTATATCTGATAATTATGCCACATTTTGTATGGGTGTATATCTGATGATTATACCACATTTTGTATGGGTGTATATCTGATAATTATGCCACATTTTGTATGGGTGTATATCTGATAATTATGCCACATTTTGTATGGGTGTATCTGATGATTATGCCACATTTTGTATGGGTGTATATCTGATGATTATACCACATTTTGTATGGGTGTATATCTGATAATTATGCCACATTTTGTATGGGTGTATATCTGATGATTATGCCACATTTTGTATGGGTGTATCTGATGATTATGCCACATTTTGTATGGGTGTATATCTGATGATTATACCACATTTTGTATGGGTGTATATCTGATGATTATACCACATTTTGTATGGGTGTATATCTGATAATTATGCCACATTTTGTATGGGTGTATATCTGATAATTATGCCACATTTTGTATGGGTGTATCTGATGATTATGCCACATTTTGTATGGGTGTATATCTGATGATTATACCACATTTTGTATGGGTGTATATCTGATAATTATGCCACATTTTGTATGGGTGTATATCTGATGATTATGCCACATTTTGTATTGGTGTATCTGATGATTATGCCACATTTTGTATGGGTGTATATCTGATGATTATACAACATTTTGTATGGGTGTATATCTGATGATTATGCCACATTTTGTATGGGTGTATATCTGATAATTATGCCACATTTTGTATGGGTGTATATCTGATAATTATGCCACATTTTGTATGGGTGTATATCTGATAATTATGCCACATTTTGTATGGGTTTATATCTGATGATTATGCCACATTTTGTATGGGTGTATATCTGATAATTATGCCACATTTTGTATGGGTGTATATCTGATAATTATGCCACATTTTGTATGGGTGTATATCTGATAATTATGCCACATTTTGTATGGGTGTATATCTGATGATTATGCCACATTTTGTATGGGTGTATATCTGATAATTATGCCACATTTTGTATGGGTGTATATCTGATAATTATGCCACATTTTGTATGGGTTTATCTCTGATAAAAATGCCACATTTTGTATGGGTGTATATCTGATAAATTTGCCACATTTTGTATGGGTTTATCTCTGATAAAAATGCCACATTTTGTATGGGTGTATATCTGATGATTATGCCACATTTTGTATGGGTGTATATCTGATAATTATGCCACATTTTGTATGGGTGTATATCTGATAATTATGCCACATTTTGTATGGGTGTATATCTGATGATTATACCACATTTTGTATGGGTGTATATCTGATAAATTTGCCACATTTTGTATGGGTTTATCTCTGATAATTATACCACACCTTGTACATCAATTACTTTTAGCTATCACAGATTGTACAAGTTTATAAAACTAACAATTGTTACATAGATTAGCAAAGTGTTTCTGTAACCCTCATATCAAAGTCTTTACAAGTACCTCAGTCATATATGTGTACAAGTACCTCAGTCATATATGTGGTACAGATGTATCACAAATACATGTGTTATAAATTGACCAGATATATCTTTCAATTAGATGTAACTTATTTTACAGGTGTATGCAGTAGGTACTGACCAAAATGGAGTTAGTTATAATGGAAACAAACATTTTGTGGTCTATTCAGCTCCTGCTGGATGTAAGTACTTGAATTAGCTTTATGCAAGAATCAGTATTGTTTTAGGGTCCTGGATTTCAGTCTGCTTTGTTATAAGCATTAAAATATTGTCTCCATCCTCCAGTCTTACCATAAAGCAATGGATTCTGATTTGGGGACATCTATATCAAAACCTTCAAACATTTCTATTAGCATATTTGTCATGTTACTTATTTTTGTTAACTCTGATTGGTTTATTGGTTTTCATTGACTGCTGCAGCTGTTTAGTGTTTCTTTTCCAGCTAAATTCACTAACATTAAAACTAAGGATGTCAACGAATAATCGAAAAGAAAAATGATATTTAATTATTCATTTTCACAATTGTTATATATATCAACTTCTGGAAGTTTGCTAAAATTAATCTGTTAACTGTTGACGAATTGTCCAATTTTCATTAAGGTATAATTTGTGTTCAAAGCTGGACACCTAGCTGTGCCATTCATCAGAAAACTAATTGGCCTATTGCCGAAATAAATTGGGTTTGCAATACACAATTCAGCTAAAGTCAAATCCTTTAAATCCTCCCTATTCACATGTATTTGCTCTAAGATATTATAATTTGTTTCAAATCAAACCAAAGATCATTCCACCTTTCAGTATTCAGATTTCCGCTCTTTTACAAAACACAAATATTCATTCGGAATGATAGAAATTTCACCCTAGCTCTTGAATTCACTTGAAGTTGACTTTTCACTTCATGAAATGATTAAATCAGACACTGTTTGTTGCACCTTCTGTTCATCCTTCTAGATATTGGAGTTAAAATATAAAAGTTTTCTACATTTACATACTGATGGTTCAAAAGATAATAAGGTTGTCGCAGTCATGGTTACACAAGATGAAGCACCGGCTACCCAACAGTGCCTCAATATTCTCGGTGGAAGCGCGAGCTCTCTATCTCGCCCTTGAACATATTCAAACAAGTAATGAGAGCTGTTATCTATTCAGACTTTCTTTCTGTAGTAGAAAGTCTTAGCAATAGAAATATCAATAATATTTTCGTTCGTAATACATAAGTACTATATCACTACTTACATCAAACTTTCATATTGCTTTTTGCTGGGTTCATTGGCACATTGGCATACCAGGCAATGAAAAAGCAGATCATGCCGCAAAGGCAGCTTTATCGCTATGAGACCCCGAAAGGGAAAATAAGACAATATTTTGCTTCAAAGTGTTACTCCTTTTTAATACTGGATTTCAACAAAATTTGATCTGAAATGTCATTGAGATTAGAGAATCATTACTGATCTTTATAAAGTGGATTCCACCTTTAGGGACTAGTAGGCAGGGCCCCAAGAGAAATTAGACAAGATTTTGCTTCAGGATACTACTCTGTCTTAATGCTTAAATGGATTTCAACCAAATTTAGACTAAAACATCATTGAGAATGGAGAATCATTTCTTAAATTCAGAAAGTTGATTCAACCTCTAGTGAATAGGAATGACCTTCATCTACTTGAAAGGTCACAGGTATCAAATATGTTAAAATCTTTAAACGATTTTCTGCATATATTAGGTTAGTGCCCTAGTTAAAAAATTTTCTGTTTCCATATAAAACTTTTCACAAATTTCAGTTTTTCTGTACCAGTGCTTTGAAAACATTCAAGATAATTTGCTCAAAAAAACTTTTTACACTTATCAGACTGGTAGTATATTTCGTTATTTTGCTATGGGGAAATGCTCCATTTAAATGTGTTTTCTGTTACCATGGAAACAGATAGGTAAAATCACAAAGTTCAGATTTTTCAGACCAGTTCCCTTAAACCATTCAAAGTAATTACCGGGTACTCAAAACTTTACACATACATCAAACTAGTAGTACTCTAGTGTAAGTTCTCAATTTCAATACTTTGTATTAAACAATTGAAAATAAAAAATAGAAATTAAACGTGTTGTAATATAAGACTCTTTTCTATATGGGTATGTAGGATAGGGATATTCCACCTGAGGGGTCACAAAATGTGGTAAAACCCGAGGCTTGCCGAGGGTTTTTACCATATTTTGTGATCCCGAGGGTGGAATATCCCTATCCTACATACCCATATAGAAAAGAGTTTTTTTCTCTCATTTCTAATCTCATATTATCAAATATTTGCACTCACCTCGCGGTAGCCATCACTGGACGCTGCCATTTTTCAGATTTCTATTTTTTTTCCTTGGGCCATATACATAAAGAAAATGCTGAAATAGATTCTCCATCCCCGAATTTTGCAAACTATGTTTGTGGTCGAAAACATAATATGGACTTTGAATGTAAACATCCAACGTCAGTGTTTAACTGTTTTTTCTTCAAGCGGGCTGGGTCAAATACCCTGTCAAATATATCACCCAGAGACATGCGTACGCGTTCAAATATAGTGCCTTAAAGCACGCAATAAAACAACACTTTTCTTTTTAATATTTACTATTGCTCAATGTATAGTATATCATAAACACTTTTTACATCTTTGAACATGTTGGTCAAGTTATTAATACTACTTCACTGTCAATAGTAATCTTACAAATCTTACACATTTATGAATGGAATTCTTGGTTTGCTTGTGAGATGACGTCACTTACGTCACACATTTCACGCCACACCGACAGGAGGAAAGTTAGTCACTGTCACTTTCAATCACACGTGGACGACGGCGGAAAGGCTGAGTCCCAGGGTTGGTGATGTTGATATTTATAGAACAGTTTTGTTAATACGAGCCTGCAAACAATGACTCCAATCGACTATGCGTGTTTGTGGATGAAGTGGTTGACATGGACATAGTCGATGAGCGGGCGGGAAAAAACTATGAATTACTCCGCGTGCGAAGCTTTATTACACAGGCGCCTGTGTAATAAACGTCTATCATGACCATGTTTATTGCCCTGGACAGGCCTATCTGACACAGGTGGAAATGAGAGAATAATAACATATATATATATATATATATATATCAGTGTGTGTCTTTCTTTTAAATAGCTAGACGCAGAGGATAATGTCACGCTTTGCATTATCTTGTGGTACTGGACTGGTACTGTCAGATGACGGTTGAGGCCAAAGCATGCGCCCCTTGTTTACACATCCCAGTATCAATTTATTAGTACATTCCTCATGTTTGGAGAATTAATTACTCACCTGTATGACTGAATAATTCTTCATTGTCACAGCCCCACCTCTGGATGTCGGAGAAACAGTGATTCCAACCAGTAGCAACAACAACATCCAACCTACACAGACGTCTTTCTCACTTACCCTTACAGATGCTTTCTTCACCAACTCAATTTACGGTGGTATAGAAGACATGGCTTTGGTGTTGTGTAAGGACTCGTGTAAAAATCTTGGTACGTTTTACAAAGAAAGACATGAATTTGGATTGTAAATTCTAGAGCTGAAGAACAATTACTTTTTATTTTAGTTTATTTGATTTTGTCTCAAAATATTGATGTATGTATATAGAAAGACCATAAATCACTTTTCACAGTTACAAAACAAAATAAAAACTACCGTGAAATGTTCATTAACCTGAAAAAATATGCGGTACTTTGATTTGTGCACGTTGATAAATCGTCATGTTGTTATTCTTTAAAAGTGTTTATTGTCACCCTGATAACTGTCCTGATTCCTTTTTTCTTTCTTGAATAGGTGACCAATCAGAAGCAGTATCAAGTAATTACTTAGTCAACGTAGATGGTTGGAAAGTTGCTCGTTCAAAAGGCTATACAGATGAATATAGAGCAATGTCAAAAACAGAGTTTACCTCATATATCAATCAAGGTAATACACCTGTATGTTGATCAGGGCAATTTTCCTCACATATTTCACAAAGTGATAAAATAACCTATTTCTTACCCAAGGTATATCCATGCTTTATATAATACTAATGTGAGATTTCCTTGTCTTATCCGAGAGTGGAGACAGGAATTCCCTCGTCAGGATGATAGCATACTATATGACACCACAGTAACAATTCAATAACTATATATTATCAATGGCATCAAAGCTGTGATGGGACGCACTTTTACAACAAAACACATACCTTATAAGGCAAGCTAGGTGAAAAGTTTGGTGATTTTTTAAAATATTATTTTGGTAATAATTGTATTTCAGACTGATTCTTGACATTGAAACTGATTGGGGTAAAATGAAGTTTGATTTTTTGGGGTGTTGTTTTGTTTTTTTTTTTGGGGGGGGGGGGGGGGGGGGGGGGGCGATTTTTAGGTAATCTGACCCAAAACGCCGTTCGTTGTGCATAAACTTTTTCTTTAAAACCCTACTCCTCTTTCATACCTTGATGGATGTCAACCAAGTTTTGCTTGGTGCATCATTGGGTGAGGGTGATCATTTCATAAATTCAGAATTTTGATTTGATCCTTAGGGGTCAAGGGACAGGGCCCAAAAGGGGAGGTGCTGAAATTAGCTTTTAAATGCTACTCCTTCATTCTGCCTGGATTGCTTTCAACAAACTTTAACCTGATTCATCAGTTAGGGTAGGCATTTATTTATTAAACTCAGAAATTTGATTTGACCCGCAGGGACTTAAGGGCAGTGCTTCAAAAGGGAAAATTAGACAATATTTTGCTCCAAAACTCTACTCCTTTTTAAGATTTGAATGGTTTTCGACTTAACTTGATCTGAAACATCAATGAGAATGGGAAATGATTTTTGAAATTCAGAAAATTGATTTGACTCCAAGGAACCTTGGGGCAGGCAGGGCCCTAAATGGGAAAGTTAGTCGATATTTTGCTTTAAAATGCTACTCCTTCTTAATGCTCAAATTAATTTCATCAAAATTTGATGTGAAACATTATTGAGAATGGAGAAAGATTTCTGAACTTCAGTAAGTCAATTTGACCCCTAGGGACTTGAGGGCAGGCCCCAGAAGGAGAAGTTAGACAAGAATTTGCTTCAAAATGTTACTCTTTCTTATGCTTGAATGGCTTTCAATGAAATTTGGTCTGAAACATCATTGAAGATGGGAAATTATTTCTTATTAATCAGAAAAGGTATTTGACTCCTATATGGACCTTGGGTTGGGATCCAAATGGTGAAGTTAGCAATGTTTTGCTTCAATGAATTAACATTGATATTGTTGAATGTCACAGAGATCAGAATTGTTACTTATAGCCTTCTTGGATTTACATTGAAAATCCCCTTAGTAATATTGAATCAGTTAAAATACTGCAACAAGGACATATTTGTTTTAGACCATTTTGACCTGGAGTGTTGACCTGGTAGAAAATGAAGCTTTGAGATCAGATATAAGATAAGTGAGTGGTGTAGGCTCCTGAAGTCTTTTGTTACCTTGCATGGTGATTTTGCTTTACAATGCTTAAGACAAACTTACGCTCAATCTTTGTTGCAGCTGGTACATCAGGCCGACGTAAGAGGTCAACCAACACATTTGTGGTGGAGATTGGAACAGCGACAGATTGTGCATCATCAACAGAGACCTATTGTAACGGACCTCTTGAAGCTGGTTCTGTGTATTTGTATGTGTTAAACTTACTTTGAACTTGCGATATGTCTTGTATCATGATTGAATTTTATTTGATATCTTCTCATTTTGTTCTTTATTTTGAATGTTGTTTTAGGCTTGTTTACACACTGCTTTTCAGCACCTCCACATGTTATTTTCCCATTTAGTTTTTTAGTGCATCTGATCTGAAGATGGCCTATTGCTATCATACATAGTCTGTCACCGTGCATCATCTACCATCCACAAACTTTTCCTTTAAAACACTTCTCCTGCTTAATGTCTTGGTGGATTTGAGCAAAATGTGGTCTGAAACGTCATTGGGGATGGGGAATGATATCTTAAATTCAGAAAGCTGATTCGACCCCTAGAGTTGCTACTCTTCCTTAATGTTTTATTGATTTTATTCCAATTTTGTCTGTAAGATAAGTAGGGGTTGGCAAATATTTCTTAAATTCAGAAAGTTGATTCAACCTGTAGGGACTTAAGGGCGGGAAAGCAAGGAGTAGCAATGATACCAAACATGCAGGAAGTGATGCTGAGATTGCCCTGACCAAATCTTATTTGTTTTGCTTTGGTCCAAAATCCTGCATAACTCATCTAAAACAAATAGTCTGATTCACTTCTCAAGTTTCATTTACACCATAGAAGAAAATATTTGAAGTTTGGTTCGTTAAGGAAAAGAAAGAGATGATGTGTTGTTATTTGTCAGTCTGATCAAGACTTTAACATGGTAACCATGGTAGCCATTTTGAAACATGATTTAAAATCAACCCATATGAATTATAGATGTGTGGCATGTCACTTAGATAGTTAGATAAAGAGTGTTTATCGTCAAACTTCAGATATACATTGGCCAGAAAATTATTTACGTAAATAGGTCATCAGAAATGCTATTGGTTGATATCTGTTCTCAGTATATAGCTAAAGATATAAGATTGACAATTGTTCGTGTTTCAGTGTTAAGGCTGTTGTGTGTACCGCTGGAGGTTGTACACTGTCTGCACTCTATGGACCATACTCAACCGAAAAAGGTAATTTAGATATATTTCCTTGTACAGTTCCGCATACATTAAACTCATCCCTAATCATAATACCTGTAAATATGTGTATCAAATAGCACCTGATTATCAGTACAGCTTAGACCAAAGTTTTCTGAAATTTCTTAGCTGCAGTGTGTTATTACATGTAGTGTGTTGACCTCAAATTCTAAATGAGCTCATGACTTTGTGTTCATTGATATCCATCAATCAAACTGTCTTTGGATGATGGACACATGAACCCCTTGAATGTTACATTAAAGACTGAAACATTTTACACTAAAGTTAACTTTAAATATGTTTCTTCACTCTCAGTTCCAGATTCGGGACCAGACGTCGGTGTCATAATTGGCGTTGTTTGTGCAATTGTAGCTTTCGCCGTCATTGTTGTTATCATTGTTGTTTTTATCAAGAGGAGGCAAAGGTATGTTCCATTAAAATGTAGAATAAAGTTTGAAAATAAATCATGAATTTTTACTTAGCACCCAATGTAAAAATTACACCCAGCTATTTCCAATATGTTTACACAAAGGTGTTAAATAATCCGTCACTACACACTGTTGTTACATAAACAGTCACATATTATACATACCCACAGGTGTTACCACTATATCTACACACAGGAGTTACATAAAAAAAGTCACACATTACACACTTGTGTTACATAAACAGTCACACACTAGACCTACACACTAATGTTACATAAACAGTTTCACACTGGTGTTACATAACAGACACACTAGACCTACACACTGGTGTTACATAAACAGACACACTAGACTTACACACTGGTGTTACATAAACAGACACTCTAGACTTACACACTGGTGTTGCATAAACAGATACACTAGACCTACACACTGGTGTTACATAAACAGACACACTAGACCTACACACTGGTATTACATAAACAGACACACTAGACTTACACACTGGTGTTACATAAACAGACACACTAGACCTACACACTGATATTACATAACAGACACACTAGACTTACACACTGGTGTTACATAAACAGACACACTAGACTAACACACTGGTGTTACATAAACAGACACACTAGACTTACACACTGGTGTTACATAAACAGACACACTAGACCTACACACTGGTGTTACATAAACAGACACACTAGACCTACACACTGGTGTTACATAAACAGACACACTAGACTTACACACTGGTATTACATAAACAGACACACTAGACTTACACACTGGTGTTACATAAACAGACACACTAGACCTACACACTGGTGTTACATAAACAGACACACTAGACCTACACACTGATATTACATAACAGACACACTAGACTTACACACTGGTGTTACATAAACAGACACACTAGACTAACACACTGGTGTTACATAAACAGACACACTACACTTACACCACAATCAATTTCTGACTGGCACAGCCAATGACAAACACTCCAGTGTATATTAGACTAATATCATATATGCCCCCAAATTATATTGGCAATTCACTAGATATAAGGCAGATTATGGGTTCAAACAGATCACAAAATATGTATACACACAGATACCAGTTGATAGTTTGACTTTCATGGTAACACGTGTGTAAATAATATTTCTGACTGTTTTGTTACACTGTTTTGTTACATTGATTTGTGACACTGATTTGTGACACTGATTTGTGACACTGATTTGTTTTACTGTTTTGTTACACGGATTTGTGACACTGATTTGTGACACTGATTTGTGACACTGATTTGTGACACTGATTTGTGACACTGATTTGTGACACTGATTTGTGACACTGTTTTGTTACACTAATGTGTTACATTGATTTGTGACACTGATTTGTGACACTGTTTTGTTACACTGTTTTGTTACACAGATTTGTGACACTGATTTGTGACACTGTTTTGTGACACTGTTTTGTGACACTGATTTGTGACACTGTTTTGTGACACTGATTTGTGACACTGTTTTGTGACACTGATTTGTTACATTGATTTGTGACACTGTTTTGTGACACTGTTTTGTGACACTGATTTGTGACACTGTTTTGTTACACTAATGTGTTACATTGATTTGTGACACTGATTTGTGACACTGTTTTGTGACACTGATTTGTGACACTGTTTTGTTACACTAATGTGTTACATTGATTTGTGACACTGATTTGTGACACTGTTTTGTTACACTGTTTTGTTACACTGTTTTGTGACACTGATTTGTGACACTGATTTGTGACACTGTTTTGTTACACTAATGTGTTACATTGATTTGTGACACTGATTTGTGACACTGTTTTGTGACACTGATTTGTGACACTGTTTTGTTACACTAATGTGTTACATTGATTTGTAACACAGATTTGTGACACTGATTTGTGACACTGATTTGTTACACTGTTTTGTTACACTGTTTTGTTACACAGATTTGTGACACTGATTTGTGACACTGATTTGTGACACTGTTTTGTTACACTAATGTGTTACATTGATTTGTGACACTGATTTGTGACACTGTTTTGTTACACTGTTTTGTTACATTGATTTGTGACACTGTTTTGTTATATTGATTTGTGACACTGATTTGTGACACTGATTTGTGACACTGATTTGTTACACTGATTTGTGACACTGATTTGTTTTACTGTTTTGTTACACGGATTTGTGACACTGATTTGTGACACTGATTTGTGACACTGATTTGTTACACTGATTTGTGACACTGATTTGTGACACTGATTTGTGACACTGATTTGTGACACTGTTTTGTGACACTGATTTGTGACACTGTTTTGTTACACTAATGTGTTACATTGATTTGTGACACTGATTTGTGACACTGATTTGTGACACTGATTTGTTACACTGATTTGTGACACTGATTTGTGACACTGATTTGTGACACTGATTTGTGACACTGTTTTGTGACACTGATTTGTGACACTGATTTGTTACACGGATTTGTGACACTGATTTGTGACACTGATTTGTGACACTGATTTGTGACACTGATTTGTGACACTGATTTGTGACACTGATTTGTGACACTGATTTGTGACACTGATTTGTTACACTGATTTGTGACACTGATTTGTGACACTGATTTGTGACACTGTTTTGTGACACTGATTTGTGACACTGTTTTGTTACACTGTTTTGTTACACAGATTTGTGACACTGATTTGTGACACTGATTTGTGACACTGATTTGTGACACTGTTTTGTTACACTGTTTTGTTACACAGATTTGTGACACTGATTTGTGACACTGATTTGTGACACTGTTTTGTTACACTAATGTGTTACATTGATTTGTGACACTGATTTGTGACACTGATTTGTGACACTGTTTTGTTACACTAATGTGTTACATTGATTTGTGACACTGATTTGTGACACTGATTTGTGACACTGATTTGTGACACTGATTTGTTACACAGATTTGTGACACTGATTTGTGACACTGATTTGTGACACTGTTTTGTTACACTAATGTGTTACATTGATTTGTGACACTGATTTGTGACACTGATTTGTGACACTGTTTTGTTACACTGTTTTGTTACACAGATTTGTGACACTGATTTGTTACACTGATTTGTTTTACTGTTTTGTTACACAGATTTGTGACACTGTTTTGTGACACTGATTTGTGACACTGATTTGTGACACTGATTTGTTACACTAATGTGTTACACTGATTTGTGACACTGATTTGTTACACTGATTTGTGACACTGATTTGTGACACTGATTTGTGACACTGATTTGTGACACTGTTTTGTTACACTGTTTTGTTACACTGATTTGTGACACTGATTTGTGACACTGTTTTGTTACACTGATTTGTGACACTGTTTTGTTACACTGTTTTGTTACACAGATTTGTTTTACTGTTTTGTTACACAGATTTGTGACACTGATTTGTGACACTGATTTGTGACACTGATTTGTGACACTGATTTGTGACACTGATTTGTTACTCTGATTTGTGACACTGATTTGTTTTACTGTTTTGTTACACAGATTTGTGACACTGATTTGTGACACTGATTTGTGACACTGATTTGTTACACTGATTTGTGACACTGATTTGTTACACTGATTTGTGACACTGATTTGTTACACAGATTTGTGACACTGTTTTGTGACACTGATTTGTGACACTGTTTTGTTACACTAATGTGTTACATTAATTTGTTACACTGATTTGTGACACTGATTTGTGACACTGATTTGTGACACTGATTTGTTACAGTGATTTGTGACACTGTTTTGTGACACTGATTTGTGACACTGATTTGTGACACTGTTTTGTTACACTGTTTTGTTACACTGATTTGTGACACTGATTTGTGACACTGTTTTGTTACACTGATTTGTGACACTGTTTTGTTACACTGATTTGTGACACGGATTTGTGACACGGATTTGTGACACTGATTTGTTACACTGATTTGTGACACTGATTTGTGACACTGATTTGTGACACTGTTTTGTGACACTGATTTGTGACACTGTTTTGTGACACTGATTTGTGACACTGTTTTGTTACACTGTTTTGTTACACTGATTTGTGACACTGATTTGTGACACTGTTTTGTTACACTGATTTGTGACACTGTTTTGTGACACTGATTTGTGACACTGATTTGTTACATTGATTTGTGACACTGTTTTGTGACACTGATTTGTGACATTGATTTGTGACACTGATTTATGACACTGATTTGTGACACTGTTTTGTTACACTGTTTTGTTTTACTGTTTTGTTACACTGATTTGTGACACAGATTTGTGACACTGATTTGTGACACTGATTTGTTACACTGATTTGTGACACTGATTTGTTTTACTGTTTTGTTACAACTGATAGACTACTAGGAGCTAATTTACCAATAATGTAATTACTGAAACAGGTTTTTATTTGACCTTAATTTTTAGCCAAGGGTCTCTTTTAAATAATTTATTTCATGTTTCAGCTCCAAACCAAGCACATACAAGCCAGATGATGAGGAACCTGGTCTGCATGAAATTGAGAAAAAGCACATTACTGCCAAGAGGTAATTTTATGTCTCAGCTGTTTCCCATTATCCACAGGTCCATGATAGTAAATACATGATCAGAATGACATGTTGTTTTGTGTCAAAGCAAGTCTGGAGATGGGGAATACAGAATACAGTGCTAACAGTTATGTTCTAGTGGTCAGGTGGTGTTTAAAGACTGCATATCCACTTGTCAATGTTAGTGTAGAACATCTTTATGTAAATGTGTGTATATATATATACATATAAATATATGTATACATTTTTTTTTCTGTTTTTCCTTCCTAGGCCGGTTGTAATGGAGAGGTTCCCTCAACATGTGTCTGACCTACATAAAGACAGCAAGTTGAAGTTCGCCAGGGAATATGAGGTGAGAAAAGACCAAAAATTATTACTATGTGTTTCCATTACATTACATTAGAAAGATAAACATCTTTTAATGAAGTAGAAATTGAATCATAACTTTTGAATAATTCAAAGATATACACACTATCAGGTACATGGAGCTTTATCTTCAATAAACTTTATCATAAAAGCTAAATTTTGAAATGCATTATGCATTACTAGCAGATAATGAGACACTTTCTGGTCCAGAAATTTACTCAATGTAACCCTATCAATTAGCTCTCAAATTGGATACATTATGGATGAACAATTAAATCTCGGTTTATAATTCTACTTCAGTGCCACCAACATATCAGAGTTTCAATACTAACTCGTTTGATTTCAAGAGACAATCTCTTCTATACTGATAAATGTGCAGTGTGGTTCAGAACTTAAATAACTGACTTGCTTGTGTTTATTAGGACCTGAAGGAGCTGAGTGCCAAACACCCATGTAATGCTGCAAATGAGGATGGAAACAAACTTAAGAATAGATATGTCAATATTCTGCCTTGTAAGTATCTATTGTTCAACAGAGAATCAACCCTTATAATCTCCTTGCATAAATCAGCCGGTTTTATCTCACAATGGAAGCCACAAGGAAACATGTTTACCACACATTATCAAAAACTAAACAATGTGACCATAAGGATGTTGTTTACATTTCATACCACATTAGCTATATATAAAATTTGATGTGTATTATGGATTACACATTTATGACTTATTAGTGATAACTAGGATATATCCCACCCTGTATATTTGTTTTCACATGCAGTTGACCACAGTCGAGTGAAACTGAATCCCACTGACCCAGAGGACCCATCCACAGACTTCATCAATGCAAACTACATTCCTGTAAGTGAAACTTTTGTCAATGAATTTGATGAATAGCTTTAATCTGTAATTGTCAGCTGTTCTACTGTATACATGACATTGTATTATAATTATAATGTAAATACACAATTATATCCTATCATAAATAACTTTTTACCACTTTCTTTGACATTCTAAGCTGTCTGTCCTACTATTTGGTTCTGTGTATCACAAGATAAAACAACATAATTCTTTGACATTCTAAGCTCTCTGTCCTACTATTTGGTTCTGTGTATCACAAGATAAAACAACATAATTCTTTGACATTCTAAGCTCTCTGTCCCACCAAATAGTTCTGTGTATTATGGTTCTGTGTATCACAAGATAAAACAACATAATTCTTTGACATTCTAAGCTCTCTGTCCTACTATTTGGTTCTGTGTATCACAAGATAAAACAACATAATTCTTTGACATTCTAAGCTGTCTGTCCCACTAATTGGTTCTGTGTATCACAAGATAAAACAACATAATTCTTTGACATTCTAAGCTCTCTGTCCCACCAAATAGTTCTGTGTATTATGGGGTAAAACAACATGATTCTTTGACATTCTAAGCTGTCTGTCCTACTATTTGGTTCTGTGTATCACAAGATAAAACAACATAATTCTTTGACATTCTAAGCTGTCTGTCCCACCAAATAGTTCTGTGTATTATGGGGTAAAACAACATAATTCTTTGACATTCTAAGCTGTCTGTCCTACTATTTGGTTCTGTGTATCACAAGATAAAACAACATAATTCTTTGACATTCTAAGCTCTCTGTCCCACCAAATAGTTCTGTGTATTATGGGGTAAAACAACATAATTCTTTGACATTCTAAGCTGTCTGTCCCACTAATTGGTTCTGTGTATCACAAGATACTACAACATAATTCTTTGACATTCTAAGCTGTCTGTCCTACTATCTGGTTCTGTGTATCACAAGATAAAACAACATAATTCTTTGACATTCTGCTGTCTGTCCCACTAATTGGTTCTGTGTATCACAAGATAAAACAACATAATTCTTTGACATTCTAAGCTCTCTGTCCCACCAAATAGTTCTGTGTATTATGGGGTAAAACAACATGATTCTTTGACATTCTAAGCTGTCTGTCCTACTATTTGGTTCTGTGTATCACAAGATAAAACAACATAATTCTTTGACATTCTAAGCTCTCTGTCCCACCAAATAGTTCTGTGTATTATGGGGTAAAACAACATAATTCTTTGACATTCTAAGCTGTCTGTCCTACTATTTGGTTCTGTGTATCACAAGATAAAACAACATAATTCTTTGACATTCTTCTCTGACCAAATAGTTCTGTGTATTATGGGGTAAAACAACATAATTCTTTGACATTCTAAGCTGTCTGTCCCACTAATTGGTTCTGTGTATCACAAGATACTACATAATTCTTTGACATTCTAAGTTCTGTCCCACTAATTGGTTCTGTGTATCACAAGATACTACAACATGATTCTTTGACATTCTAAGCTGTCTGTCCTACTATCTGGTTCTGTGTATCACAAGATAAAACAACATAATTCTTTGACATTCTAAGCTGTCTGTCCCACTAATTGGTTCTGTGTATCACAAGATACTACAACATAATTCTTTGACATTCTAAGCTGTCTGTCCCACTAATTGGTTCTGTGTATCACAAGATAAAACAACATTGATCTTTGACATTCTAAGCTGTCTGTCCCACTAATTGGTTCTGTGTATCACAAGATACTACAACATAATTCTTTGACATTCTAAGCTGTCTGTCCTACTAATTGGTTCTGTGTATCACAAGATAAAACAACATAATTCTTTGACATTCTAAGCTCTCTGTCCCACCAAATAGTTCTGTGTATTATGGGGTAAAACAACATAATTCTTTGACATTCTAAGCTGTCTGTCCTACTATTTGGTTTTGTGTATCACACGATAAAACAACATTGATCTTTGACATTCTAAGCTGTCTGTCCCACTAATTGGTTCTGTGTATCACAAGATAAAACAACATAATTCTTTGACATTCTAAGCTGTCTGTCCTACTATTTGGTTCTGTGTATTATGAGGTAAAACAACATAATTCTTTGACATTCTAAGCTGTCTGTTCCACTAATTGGTTCTGTGTATCACAAGATAAAACAACATAATTCTTTGACATTCTAAGCTCTCTGTCCCACCAAATAGTTATGTGTATTATGGGGTAAAACAACATAATTCTTTGACATTCTAAGCTGTTTATCCTACTATTTGGTTTTGTGTATCACAAGATAAAACAACATAATTCTTTGACATTCTAAGCTGTCTGTCCTACTAGTTGGTTCTGTGTATCACAAGATACTACAACATAATTCTTTGACATCTGATACCGTCTTTCCCACTAGATAGTTCTGTGTATTATGAGATAAATCTGTTTCAGGGCTACAACTCTCCACGAGAATACATAGCATCCCAGGGCCCAATACCAAGCACCATCGACGACTTCTGGAGAATGATATGGGAACAACAAGTATCAATCTGTGTCATGTTGACTCTGTGTAAAGAGGATGGAAGGGTAGGTATCACAACAGTTGCAGATGTCCTGAATTAATTTCTGTAGATCTTCATTATCTTGCATTACTAGATTAAAGGCAATCAGTGGAGATTTTTTGACTGGTCTAAAAATCAGTTAGAGGAGAGTACATTATACACTTTCCATTTACCTTTCAAATTCTTTTCATGAAATCACCTGTAACCAATACAGTTACTACTATGAAAGTATTAGCAAGTAAGATCCACCCTGTATCAGTGTTTGTCCTGTTGTGCATTGTTGCAGATCAAGTGTGAACAATATTGGCCTACGGAACGTAACGAGCCTAAGCAGTATGGTGATATTGTCGTAGAGATTACTTCCTATTCCACGGTCAACACCTATGATCACAGAATCTTCAAAATAACACAGGTAAGCTTCCTTATCTACTACATGATTTTGGCCACATTCTGGTATAAGAAATATCCAAGTTTGTATTCAATCAGGCAACATAAAGTGAAAGGGAAACTTTGAGCAATGCGGATGGCAAACCTGAAGCATTTTGCAATTTATTAGTCATTATCAAGCAGTTCAAAATCTAAGATGCAAATAGCCAGCTCTACAAATTCATTGAGAAATTTGTAGTAATACAGATTCTGTGGGAAATTTCCAGTGAAATATTTCATGGGAAATTTCCAGTGATACATATTCAGTGTGAAATCTCCATGGTACAGATTTAGTGGGAAATCTCCATGGTACAGATTTAGTAGGAAATCTCCAGTGATACATTTGCGGTTGGAAATTTAAGATGATGCAGATTCAGTTGAAAAAAAAAATTAATACATATAATTTTAATAGAATAAAAACATACATTACTTTTTACATTAAATATTTATAAATTAAATGCATATTGCATTATCTAGAAATATATATATAACCCTGAATACAACTAGAAAATGAATACAATAATCAACAAATAAAGTATATATATATATATATAAAAAGTGGAAAATCTTAAGTAAAACAGATTCAGTGGGAAATCTCCAGAACTGTTTTTAATTGCAAAAGTTTGAATTAAGTCTGCATAAAAATTTTAATATGATTTTCTGATGATGGTTTCTTTCAAAATATGCATCAATTTTATTTTCAGGGAGATCAGACACGAACTCTAAAACATTTCCATTTCTTGAATTGGAAGGACTTCTCTGCAAATGTTCAGAATGATGTCATGATTGACTTTATACAAAATGTGCGAGCACACATTCAACCTCCTGACAAGAAGGGCCCAATGATTATTCACTGCAGGTCAGAATTTGATAGCCTTATTGAAGTAAGAGAGTAAATGTGTTATCATTTTGCTGAGACTTTAAATGCAACTTTTTATATTATATTGGTGATTCTGTCATCCTTCTGCAGAAGAAACATCTAGAAAACTGCAGACACCTTGATTTCAAAATAATTCATGTTGGATCATGCTTGGTAACTGCATTTGTAACATTTTGGAATTCAACTTTAACTGCAGCAAAACAAATGCAAATATCTAATACCCTAATTTTGGACATACAGCATATCACACTGAATAATTGTTTGATGTTTTAGTGCTGGAGTTGGTCGCACAGGAACATACATGGCCTTAGATCAACTTATACAGTTCATAGACGAGCATGACTTTAGTGAGATGATAGACATCTTCGACTTGGTTTTGTCAATGAGGAATTACAGAGTGTTTATGGTCCAGACAGAGGTATGGTGTCTTGAAGCTTTACTAATGCATAGTTGGTACATTGCGAGTCTGGCTGTGTTCACATCTATTTCAGCCCTTGAAAAAATATATAGATATATCCCTGTAGCCATGGATACCAATTTAAACATCAAATTCAGCCAATAAAAACCTCGGATATATAAATCCCTGTAGCCATGGGTAACCAATATAAACATCAAAGGCAGCCAATAAAAACCTCAGATATATATATCCCTGTAGCCATGGGTAACCAATATAAACATCAAAGGCAGCCAATAAAAACCTCAGATATACCGAGTATATATCCCTGTAGCCATGGATAGCAACATAATTATCAAAGGCAGCTCTTACCATCTCCTTCAGCTTGCTTTCCTATCATCATGTATGTTATATATCATACTTTAATACAATAAAGGTTTTGTTTTTCTAAGATAATGATGCCTTGTCTACCTTGTAATGGAGGTATAGCTACCTGTACATCATCTGTCCATCTACATTACTTCCAGTTAATTCATAAACCTAAGTGAGGATTTTTTTTTCTTCAACAGTTTTCAAAATCTTAATCAGTACCTGCATTTTGTTACAGCAACAATATGTGTTTATTCATGACTGTGCAAAGGACCTGATTGAGAGAAAGAAAGCTCGACTGCAGAATAATGATGATGATGAAAATCTCTATGTCAACAGAGCATATGGTAAGTATTATCGTCCTGATATTCCTGAACTTATCCATATTTGAGGCAATAATATATTCATCATCATGGCAGTGTTGAGATATTATTGATTAAAAGATAATTACATTTTATAAAACATATAAATATTCAATGTTTTATGAAGAAATATGAATAAACACTGTGTTTACATACTCTTCTACTTTTGTTGATACATCCAGATGAATTAAATTTGAGGTGAACTCTAGTACTTAGTCGTGTCTTGAAGGATCAAAGATTTAGATGCTCTAGCTACATCCTATAAAATGAAAATAAGTCCTGATATAAATAACAATTATTTTGGTACTACTTGTTTTTCAGAGGAAGATCCGGATGAAAACCTGTACCAAAATCAGAACTTTTTTGAGAATAAAACTGAGCTTTAACCAAAAACCAGCAGACAAAATATGAAGGGTCATATGAATATATCATCAACTGGTTCATACCTCTGATTTGTGGACATTACTGTAATGTCACTTTTATCAGAGGAAAATTTTATATTGTTATACTCCTTCTGTTATGGAGAAAGGTAATCCTCTTTATTTTCACAAAAATGGCCGTCAGAACAGTATATCCAGTAGCTGTTACATAGAGTATATCTAAATTCTTACATCAATATGTAAATATTTTCATATAGTCCACTTTTGAATTACAAAGAACAACCACTCTCTCACTTAAGTGCCAATTTCTACTTCAAGTATGAAGTGTATAGCTGGTTTGAGGTTTTTTAATGGCTAGATTCAGGAATAAACTGGTTACATTTTGTTTTTGGAAGTAAAAGTTTTTTATCTATGGTAATATGGGGATGATGAAAAAGCTTACTTCATCAGTTGAAAAAAAGTAAGTGAAACATATCAAAACTTTTTTTTAAAAAAAATAAGGCTTTGCATGTATGTAGAATTACATGAAAATGTCCATCATTGATGTCAGTTCTCTGATGTTTATGATGTTACAAACATATCCATAGGTTAAGAATTCCAGCTATTTGTCTTATTTTACAAAGTTTTTGTTAATCAAAAAGTACTTCATGGATAAAAACTGTTTTTTGGCAATCAAAATCTTTTGGACACAATCAATTGAATCTATGACAGATAAATTAACATTTTTCTCTGTTCTAATTAATGCAAAAATATCACCAATATGTTACAAAGTGTTGGTTTCATTTTGTGCAAAAATGAATCTATATAATTAGCTTTATTATAGTTAATCTTGTATTGTGATAAAGTAATTCCCAATAGGAATTCTTATTTCTTGCTTTAATGAATATTAATTGTATGTCAACCATTTCAATAATTAAGCATGTTTATATGGTATTTGAATCTGTATGTCTTTTAAAGTCCCAATATATGCAGCTTTAAGTAAAAGATTGTAAAGAAAATTAATTTTTATATAGATATAGTAAAATTAACCTATTTCATTTGAAAGCAGTTGAAATTCACTCTTTGTAAAGATGCCTTCATTTACAATATGGTTGCCCAATCATGGCTGAATTCGTCACTTCGTATAACATTGGTTTATATTTTCAGTATGACACTTTTATCAATTTTGATTTGTATCAATATCCTTGCCATGGTTTTTTCATAGATACCACTCAGCTTATAATTATGTTTTGATTTTTATGTTATCTTAGAAACTTTCTGAATCCTGTAAATATATTGGGGCTTTAATGATGATTTGGTTATAAATACAGCTCTGTATTTTAAGAATCAGATAAAGGAGTTAGTTGGAATGGTATTCAGATATAACTGAGATACATGGTATCGCATGAGATATGTTAGCTTTACATTTAAAGACTTGCAATATGTTAACTTCTAATGGCCATTTAAATGTTTTTAATATTTACAACCTTTACATTCCTATTAAACATGTATACCATTATTATTATAGATGGTTTAATGTTACAGTATTGCTCCATTCTTCAGCTGTGATTTGTCTTTGAAGTGTTATTAACAGGTTCAGCTTTGAGGAAATATAAATAATCATTCCAATCGAATGTTAATTATCAGATAGCATCTTTTATACAAATTTATATAGCATATGCATATCTCTTTATTCGGAAAAAAATACTGGTTTTGAAAATAATACTACTATCTGTTCTGTACAATAATTTCTTAGGGCCGTAGTAGTTACTATTGCCAAGCTTTATTTTCATTGTAAATCATTGTATTTTGTTAAGCATTTTAATATATGTACATTTATATTGCTACAAAGATTTTGGATGATCTCTCACATGTTTTAGTGCTTCCAATAATTGTAGCAGTCCATTGTTGACCAATGGTGCCTTCTTGTTACAGTGTTATTGTTTATCAAAGATAATTAAAATCTTTTAAGGATTTCTTCACACACACATATATGCAGACACATTTTTTGTTGTAGTATCATTGTTTTGGTTAAAAACCAGGAAATGAAGATTTTCATTTTCGATACTAAATTTAAGGCATGCTTTCTCTGATATTACTACTGGGGAACATTAATTTCATATTTGAACTCAACACCCATCCCTTCTTAAGGTGGTTGGTTAGTTATATAAGTTCCCATCATATCAACTCTTGCTTAAATTATTTTTATTTTTATCTTTGTTCATTCAATATATTTCATTTAAATTTGATCATGAAAGGTTTACACTGTCTATATGATATGAACAAATTTATTATATTATGTTTGTTTCTGTCATGAAATAGGATTTCTTTTATTTGTTTGACTTAGATTTATTGTATTGATAGGAAGTTAAGCAAGGATACTCTTTAACGATTATGAAATATATTTGCAATTCATCAAAAAAAAAGCAAAAAAAAAAAAGAAACACTATGATTCTGTTGATGTTATGGGAAATTTGCAGCTGTTATGGGAAATTTGCAAAATTTGCAGATGTTATGGGAAATCAACTTTATTTCTGAGAAAATTTTTCATATTTTATGATTGTCTTCATAGTGTCGTTTATTACAAAGTTGCATGCGGAAGCACAGGAAAAGTTATCATAAAATGTGCACAGGTTGTTGGGAACACTTTCTTATATGGAATATTTTCCCAACATAAATTTCATTTCAATGTTTTAGTTGTTAAACATATCCAGTAACTTGCATTCCTAGATTTGTAACATGGATGTGTTTCCATCCGGTGTATTTTGTGTTTGCTAAGATCCAGTTCAGTGATAATTTGTTTTCTATATATATATATATTAGGTAAGAGTTACAATATTGCATGTAATGAATTTTCATTTATAGATATATCTGTGATGTCTATATTTCTCAGTGATAGCAATATCACTGAGCAATTTATACCCATTGTTTCTATGAACTTACATCAAAATTTTTATTGTGTATAAATATTTCTTTTATTGATGTATGTAAAAAAGAAATGCCATTGAATATATTCTACACAAAGCAGAAACTCATAGTTTTTACTTCAGGTACTCACAAATAAAAACATATCTTGTAATATTTAAATTGTACTTTAGCAGCACTTAAAATTCATTCCCAAGGTATTGGTCTCCAGAAAAAATAGCGTCACTGTTAGCCAGAACCCTGCTAAAATGGTGAAATAAACCACAAATCAAATTAATTTTTAATCAACTACTGCATAATATCGAAGATATGACAGAAATAATCAACTAAATACTTGAGGAGAAATCCAAAGGGTCAGGAATAAATTCTGAATTATGGAGCTTCTGTCAGAGAGGAAACACTGTTTTGGATACCTGAAATATGGTTTGTAAATATCTGATAAGTAAATGTGGTAATGAAAATTTTTCTCAGAGTTTACAACAGTAAAGTAGTTTAAGGTTGATATTTTGAGTGTCAGTTTTGACCCATTTTATTATATTAGTGTTATGTAAATTTTATTCAGGACATTAATACAACACCAACAGTTAGGAAAAGGAGATTTGAAGGGGATAAATGTTGTGGTGCTAATAGGTGTAAATCTCAACACAAGTGTTCCTGATACCCAAATCAAAACTATATTTTTTTTTGTATTCATGCATTTGTTTGTGTATTTTTACATATATCATTTGAAAATATAAATGGGAAACTGTAGACTGTTGAGATAAACTTTGTTTTAAACTACTTTTCAGTAACACAAGATAGACCTGCTTGGAAAGGAGAAGAAATTTTTAATAAATCAGATCTGTAATGAGATATAACAAACTAGGAAAATTGGTAAAACATTGTATAATGTAATCAAGTAAATTGTGAGGTTTATACCCTTATATAATGAAGGTATTTCAAAATGCTTTTGATTTCAAACATAAGAAAGTATTTTATGAATAGCCTGATGTGAGGATACCTATAACAGGGAATATTTTAGGTGCACATTCAGTTCTGTCCTCTTTTCATTCATTTGAATTTCCTATAAAATACAAATGTATATTACCTTTTGGTAAAATTTGTTTACATTATCTTTATTTAATCTTATCACAACGAGTGAAATTATCAACTTATAGTAATGATAGTTCTACCAAAGATGACTATTGTTAAACGGTAGTGAACTGTTCACTCTATATTGTATAACAATGCAAAAGAAATGGTGCAGGGACCCATTGTTTTAGATGTTGGATGCAGACAAAATGCTCACAATTTTTTCTGTAGAAAGATTGGGTTCCTTTTTAATACTCATGGTCTACACAGAATGTGTTGCTCATACAACCTCTGCAAATAAAACAATAAAAATTGTCCCAGCTGAAAAGGTTCCTTCTTAACATAGATTTGGTTCCCCTTTAAAATCCATCCAATACTTGCTTTAAAGATGTACAGTGTGCTTGTTAGCAAAAATATAGTATTTCTAGACTTATTAATCAGACTTTAGCTGGATATGATATTTATACAAATATATATATATATACATGCATATGTTGGTTCCTAAGCATTTTGTAATGATGTGAGTTTTTATAATGATGCAATCTTTGGTAACAAAATATGTCATAATACTAGCTGGAGATTTTAGAATGGCTAACATCAGAAAAAAGAACACAAGGGATGTCTGTGTATCTTCTGTATATATATACATAGACATATAAGCCTTTGTTGGTTGGTAATCAATCGTTGAAAAGATCTGAAAAGAATGCATTATTATTCTCAATTATGTACTTAATTGTTTTAATCACCTGTTTTTTACTATATGGATATTATCATAGTTTTATGAAAAAACGAAACTCTCTTTTACCTGATGCAAAGTATCTCAAGACTAGCTTATTCACGATATTTTTGAAGCATATATTTTGATGGTAAATTGATTTATGATATATAATATATTTTCATATATAACTAATAAAACATCTTCATTATAACGTAATTTGTTTTATATTTATTCAATTCCCTTTCGTAGAATTAGGGTTGTGATTGACTTGTAGACAATGTGGAGATCATTTACATAGATAATATGATGCTTTACATGTCCAAAAGTCCTGACTCATGGTCTATTCCCATCCCCATGCAAATCGACTACAATTTCCAGTATACTCCAATTATCACTGTAAATGTTATGAAAATACATCTGATCAGTAAAGAACCTGACATAGCCGCAGTGGTCAAATGTTTGTGCAAAAAATTCAAATGCTTTCAGGTACATAAAATGAGTCACATAGGTCTGGAGTCACACCAATGTTTCCTGTACTGTTTTAAACCAGGCTGTTTTGAAAATAATATATGTTGTTCTCCTAGCTACCAGGCTCTGCTTACTCAAGTTATAGCAAGTGAAAACTAATTGCTGCCTGAGGAAAAAAACGAGTGATAAATGCAAAATTAACACTCAAAAATATCAGTCAGATGTGTCTCAACAAATGTACAGCTGTGAATATAAAGAATGTTTTCGGTTTTGTTTAATTCATGTTTATGAATTTCTGCTTACCACTAGTTATCTTTTTTTAAATAAAATGACTGGCCCCAGTTGCTCAAAGTGTTGTCACTGAAAACAAGTCTTGTTTATGAAATGGTATAAACCTGGTTGCAACAAAGGCATGTGCTAATTGCATGCACACTTTGTGAAACACTTATGTCTTCATTGTGGTAATGTTTGACAGTTTTAGCTCAATAGTTATGGCCAATGTATTTTTTTTTTTCAAATGTAAGTCAAAGGTCATATGGTAAAATATTTTGGTACCACCAGAAAGTTCTTGTCATAAGGAACTCGCATGCCATATGAAGACCCTACCTCTCACGGTTCAATAGTTATGGATATGGTAAAATTGGCAACGAACAGACAGCACAAAAACAAATGCCCCTGATCTTTCGATTCGGGGGCATAAAACAGGGACTTAAAGAAGCAAACTTGGCAAAATGAATTGTTTCCATAATGTTATAATGCTTTATTAGTTTCTTGTTTAATGCTTTTTAACAGTTCTTCTATAATGGTGGATATTTCTGGACATAGTTATGGTGTAAGGTATTGTTCCATTACAGTTTTTAAAAAATATTCAAACAATGGTTAAATGACTCAGACACCAGATAAACATAATCAATAAAACATGATACCCTATACAAGGACATGAGATAACATTCAGTAGAATAGAACAACTGATCTGACTTATCACTAGTGACTAACTAAAATTTGAATGTAAATTTCCCAACACAAAGCCGACTCTGAAATAGAATCACCTGTTGATAGTTGTCATTATCACAGTCGGGCAAAGTTGTGTATTTGAACAAGAATATAACCTGCATCCACCATATATCTATACTTTCTGTTTGTTTTCTTTAATATTCATTATATTTCATAACATACGATGAAAATGGAGATAGTTTCTTTTTTATATATTTTTTTCAAAATAAACACAACACTTTAGTAAAGATTAGCTAATCTATGCACTGACTTCTACTGATATCTTATAATGTCGTGTCTTTATTTTTAAACATATACTTATCCTTGACCTCACAATTTAAATACTTTAAAAATCCACACAATTGGCGTCGCTTACTCAAACTGATCCTACCTGACCAAACAGTTTACCTGTGCCGTATTATCCTTACCCAACTAAGTGCATTGTTTGAAAAATATCGAGCATGGCTTCTCGTTTTATTTTCCTGACGCTTTTAATATTCTTGGTTGAAGAGAGTCGTTGTAGCACACGGCGTCCTGAGGTAAATACATTACAGCCGGGAGCCACAACACAGTGCCTGGTCCCGTTTCTAAATCCTTCAAGGGGATGGAAGAAAGAGTCATTTCCAAATCCCCGTGTAAACGTTACGCTTTGTGGCCGGGAATGCACTCAATCGTGGGTATGTGACCCCTCGGGAATCCTCAACACTCGCGATGGTAAGTAACCAGCTTCATTAAAGTTTAAGTACCACTAGATTCGTTTCCTTTTCCAGTCTTTTTATCAGAAAGAAAATATCATTTGTCAGATAAGTCCGATGAGGCAAAGTTTTCTTGTGTTATTATTAGATGTATTATATATCATTTAAGTATTTGCATAGTTTAACAATATCTTTTTTTTTTGTTTTGATTTCCATTGTGGTAAATCATAAAATGTCTTTGTGACATTGAAGAACATACTGTTAACTCGATGCTCATATTTATTAGTAGACACTGCTACTTGTTACATCTTTGTACTATAGCCTTATCACACTAAAGTTAACCGACAAATAATCATACATGAATATTACACCCTAGTACTAATATTTGAATATTTAGGTTTTAAATGTGTTACAACTTTCAGATGGCGAGGTAGTTCTATATTCTAACTTTTGTCTTTGACGTAACATAATTACAAGCCCATGCGTCACCTCGTGGCTATATATAAATCTAAATAGCATCCTGACCGATTAGACCAGACAGTGCGAGGCGACTGTGGGCGACACTGAGGATGTTTACCTCTATCGTAATCTCCCTATCACATACTTATTTTGATAGTCATATCCAATAGGTACTACTGCAATCCTCGTGTTATCCAGTGTGATAGTCATATCCAGTAGGTACTACTGCAATCCTCGTGTTATCCAGTGTGATAGTCATATCCAGTAGGTACTATTGCAATCCTCGTGTTATCCTGTCTGATAGTCATATCCAGTAGGTACTACTGCAATCCTCGTGTTATCCAGTGTGATAGTCATATCCAGTAGGTACTACTGCAATCCTCGTGTTATACAGTGTGATAGTCATATCCAGTAAGTACTACTGCAATCCTCGTGTTATACAGTGTGATAGTCATATCCAGTAGGTACTACTGCAATCCTCGTGTTATCCTGTGTGATAGTCATATCCAGTAGGTACTACTGCAATCCTCGTGTTATCCAGTGTGATAGTCATATCCAGTAGGTACTACTGCAATCCTCGTGTTATCCAGTGTGATAGTCATATCCAGTAGGTACTACTGCAATCCTCGTGTTATCCAGTGTGATAGTCATATCCAGTAGGTACTACTGCAATCCTCGTGTTATCCAGTGTGTGATATCCAGTCATATCCAGTCATATCCAGTACTACTGCAATCCTCGTGTTATCCTGTGTGATAGTCATATCCAGTAGGTACTACTGCAATCCTCGTGTTATCCAGTGTGATAGTCATATCCAGTAAGTACTACTGCAATCCTCGTGTTATCTAGTGTGATAGTCATATCCAGTAGGTACTACTGCAATCCTCGTGCTATCCAGTGTGATAGTCATATCCAGTAGGTACTACTGCAATCCTCGTGTTATCCAGTGTGATAGTCATATCCAGTAGGTACTACTGCAATCCTCGTGTTATCCAGTGTGATAGTCATATCCAGTAGGTACTACTGCAATCCTCGTGTTATCCAGTGTGATAGTCATATCCAGTAGGTACTACTGCAATCCTCGTGTTATCCAGTGTGATAGTCAGATCCAGTAGGTACTACTGCAATCCAGTAGGTACTACTGCAATCCTCATGTTATCCTGTCTGATAGTCATATCCAGTAGGTACTATTGCAATCCTCGTTTTATCCTGTGTGATAGTCATATCCAGTAGGTACTATTGCAATCCTCGTTTTATCTTGTGTGATAGTCATATCCAGTAGGTACTACTGCAATCCTCGTGTTATCCAGTGTGATAGTCATATCCAGTAGGTACTACTGCAATCCTCGTGTTATCCTGTGTGATAGTCATATCCAGTAGGTACTACTGCAATCCTCGTGTTATCCTGTGTGATAGTCATATCCAGTAGGTACTACTGCAATCCTCGTGTTATCCAGTGTGATAGTCATATCCAGTAGGTACTACTGCAACCCTCGTGTTATCCTGTGTGATAGTCATATCCAGTAGGTACTACTGCAATCCTCGTGCTATCCAGTGTGATAGTCATATCCAGTAGGTACTACTGCAATCCTCGTGTTATCCTGTGTGATAGTCATATCCAGTGATAGTCATAGTGTGATAGTCATATCCAGTAGGTACTACTGCAATCCTCGTGTTATCCAGTGTGATAGTCATATCCAGTAGGTACTACTGCAATCCTCGTGTTATCCAGTGTGATAGTCATATCCAGTAGGTACTACTGCAATCCTCGTGTTATCCAGTGTGATAGTCATATCCAGTAGGTACTACTGCAATCCTCGTGTTATCCTGTGTGATAGTCATATCCAGTAGGTACTACTGCAATCCTCGTGTTATCCTGTGTGATAGTCATATCCAGTAGGTACTACTGCAATCCTCGTGTTATCCTGTGTGATAGTCATATCCAGTAGGTACTACTGCAATCCTCGTGTTATCCTGTCTGATAGTCATATCCAGTAGGTACTATTGCAATCCTCGTGTTATCCAGTGTGATAGTCATATCCAGTAGGTACTATTGCAATCCTCGTGTTATCCAGCTATCTGTGTGTGATAGTCATATCCAGTAGGTACTACTGCAATCCTCGTGTTATCCTGTGTGATAGTCATATCCAGTAGGTACTACTGCAATCCTCGTGTTATCCAGTGTGATAGTCATATCCAGTAGGTACTACTGCAATCCTCGTGTTATCCAGTGTGATAGTCATATCCAGTAGGTACTACTGCAATCCTCGTGTTATCCAGTGTGATAGTCATATCCAGTAGGTACTACTGCAATCCTCGTGTTATCCAGTGTGATAGTCATATCCAGTAGGTACTACTGCAATCCTCGTGTTATCCTGTGTGATAGTCATATCCAGTAGGTACTACTGCAATCCTCGTGTTATCCAGTGTGATATCCCAGTGTGATCCAGTCATATCCAGTAGGTACTACTGCAATCCTCGTGTTATCCAGTGTGATAGTCATATCCAGTAGGTACTACTGCAATCCTCGTGCTATCCAGTGTGATAGTCATATCCAGTAGGTACTACTGCAATCCTCGTGCTATCCAGTGTGATAGTCATATCCAGTAGGTACTACTGCAACCCTCGTGTTATCCTGTGTGATAGTCATATCCAGTAGGTACTACTGCAATCCTCACTTTATCCTGTCTGATAGTCATATCAAGTAGGTACTACTGCAATCCTCGTGTTATCCAGTGTGATAGTCATATCCAGTAGGTACTACTGCAATCCTCGTGTTAGTCATATCCAGTAGGTACTACTGTTAGTCATATCCAGTAGGTACTACTGCAATCCTCGTGCTATCCAGTGTGATAGTCATATCCAGTAGGTACTACTGCAATCCTCGTGTGATAGTCATATCCATCCAATCCTCGTGTGATAGTCATATCCAGTACTACTGCAATCCTCGTGTTATCCAGTGTGATAGTCATATCCAGTAGGTACTATCAATCCTCGTGTTATCCAGTGTGATAGTCATATCCAGTAGGTACTACTGCAATCCTCTTGTTATCCTGTGTGATAGTCATATCCAGTAGGTACTACTGCAATCCTCGTGTTATCCAGTGTGATAGTCATATCCAATAGGTACTACTGCAATCCTCGTGTTATCTAGCGTGATAGTCATATCCAGTAGGTACTACTGCAATCCTCGTGTTATCTAGCGTGATAGTCATATCCAGTAGGTACTACTGCAATCCTCGTGTTATCCAGTGTGATAGTCATATCCAGTAGGTACTACTGCAATCCTCGTGTTATCCAGTGTGATAGTCATATCCAGTAGGTACTACTGCAATCCTCGTGTTATCCAGTGTGATAGTCATATCCAGTAGGTACTACTGCAATCCTCGTGCTATCCAGTGTGATAGTCATATCCAGTAGGTACTACTGCAATCCTCGTGTTATCCTGTGTGATAGTCATATCCAGTAGGTACTACTGCAATCCTCGTGTTATCCTGTGTGATAGTCATATCCAGTAGGTACTACTGCAATCCTCGTCTGATAGTCAGTCCAGTTATCCAGTGTGATAGTCATATCCAGTAGGTACTACTGCAATCCTCGTGTTATCCAGTGTGATAGTCATATCCAGTAGGTACTACTGCAATCCTCGTGTTATCCAGTGTGATAGTCATATCCAGTAGGTACTACTGCAATCCTCGTGCTATCTAGTGTAATAGTCATATCCAGTAGGTACTACTGCAATCCTCGTGTTACCCTGTGTGATAGTCATATCCAGTAGGTACTATTGCAACACTTACTATATCCTGTGTGATAGTCATATCCAGTAGGTACTACTGCAATCCTCTTGTTATCCTGTGTGATAGTCATATCCAGTAGGTACTATTGCAACACTTACTATATCCTGTGTGATAGTCATATCCAGTAGGTACTACTGCAATCCTCTTGTTATCCTGTGTGATAGTCATATCCAGTAGGTACTACTGCAATCCTCGTGTTATCCTGTGTGATAGTCATATCCAGTAGGTCCCTGTGTGATAGTCATATCCAGTAGGTAATATTGCAACACTTACTATATCCTGTGTGATAGTCATATCCAGTAGGTACTACTGCAATCCTCTTGTTATCCTGTGTGATAGTCATATCCAGTAGGTACTACTGCAATCCTCGTGTTATCCAGTGTGATAGTCATATCCAGTAGGTACTACTGCAATCCTCGTGTTATCCTGTGTGATAGTCATATCCAGTAGGTACTACTGCAATCCTCGTGTTATCCTGTGTGATAGTCATATCCAGTAGGTACTACTGCAATCCTCGTGTTATCCAGTGTGATAGTCATATCCAGTAGGTACTACTGCAATCCTCGTGTTATCCTGTGTGATAGTCATATCCAGTAGGTACTACTGCAATCCTCGTGTTATCCAGTGTGATAGTCATATCCAGTAGGTACTACTGCAATCCTCGTGTTATCCTGTGTGATAGTCATATCCAGTAGGTACTACTGCAATCCTGTTATCCAGTGTGATAGTCATATCCAGTAGGTACTACTGCAATCCTCGTGCTATCCAGTGTGATAGTCATATCCAGTAGGTACTACTGCAACCCTCGTGTTATCCTGTGTGATAGTCATATCCAGTAGGTACTACTGCAACACTTACTATATCCTGTGTGATAGTCATATCCAGTAGGTACTACTGCAACACTTATTATATCCTGTGTGATAGTCATATCCAGTAGGTACTATTGCAATCCTCGTGCTATCCAGTGTGATAGTCATATCCAGTAGGTACTACTGCAATCCTCGTGCTATCCAGTGTGATAGTCATATCCAGTAGGTACTACTGCAATCCTCGTGTTATCCTGTGTGATAGTCATATCCAGTAGGTACTACTGCAATCCTCTTGTTATCCTGTGTGATAGTCATATCCAGTAGGTACTACTGCAATCCTCGTGTTATCCAGTGTGATAGTCATATCCAATAGGTACTACTTGTGTTATCCTGTGTGAATCATATCTAGGTACTACTGCAATCCTCGTTTATCCTGTGTAGTCATAGTCATATCCAGTAGGTACTACTTGCATCATCGTGTTATCAATCCTCGTGTTATCCAGTGTGATAGTCATATCCAGTTACTACTGCAATCCTCGTGTTAGTGTGATAGTCATGTCCTTTTTTAGTAGATAAAAACTTGTTTAAATACTACTTTCATCTTTATGTGCACATTTTGAGAATTGACTCATGTCCTGTTTCTAATGCCTAGCTTTCTGACTCGTACCATTACAAGGAAGTCCTATAGTTACGAAACAGCCGTTTTATTTAAAATGTGCGATGTGCTGTCTCTGTGACCTTAAGTCTACATCTCCGTTGAAAGGAAAGTTCTACAGAATATGTGTAGCTTTATACATTCTTGTGTTGTGATAGTAGAGTCAGAGAAAAATATAAATAGGCCAAGTTCTATTTTCACTGAGGTATGTAAACACATAGATAAAGTGGTGTTGGTTTCTCATGATCCAGAAGAATGAATGGAGTGTAATAGAAAGCCCTGTCCGCGTTCTTTGTTCCGATTACGAGATAGTAACATCCTTTTTTACTCAACCCGATGAAACGTGCAAAGTAAATATTGGTTAATCCAAGTAAGCAATGTCACGTTTTAAAATGAGAACGAGGCTAATAACATCTAAACCACCAGAAAATACTACAGAATATCGAGCAGCCCTACCTCCATATCGTACAATAATGAAATATTCCACAATAAGACCATGGGGGCGACCACACTACTATAACAATTGATTCGACAGTCAAGGGCCTGTTCCTAGTGTCACGACTCCTGTCGTAATCGATATCGACAATAGGTAATCTTACAAACACAAAGTTTTAAGACACGAGGTAGATGATTAATGGTCGCCATCATGAGCTCACTGCATAAAATGCGTAATTACAACATAGATATACATTGTCATGTTTGTGTCTTGAACTGTAAAATAGTATCAGTAATATCAAACATTTATATATCGTTGGTTTTGATAAAAGACTATTTATCTTAATTGAAGCTGACCTCTGATATGTTGCTAACCGTTTGAGACTGAAATATACTTCGTATATGTGTATTGCAAATATTATTTACCATAATTTGATCAAATATATGACAATAGTATTGTAGTATTTCAATTCTAGCTTTTTTGTTACTATTTTCAGTAGCTCTAAGATATTTCTATAAAGACATCAGCTACCGGAAACATATAGTCTGTTTTATCGTCCACCACGTCGTTTGTATGTTACGTCGTCACAATTTATTGGTCAGCGTTATAATTATATTTCTATTGACAATACCCTTAAAATAAGTATGGAGTACCAAGAGTTTAATATCACTATAAAACCGAGGTGTTGAAAAGCAAAATACCTATGACATGCAGTATGATTTCACATTCTAGTGTTGTTCGCGAAACTAATAGATTTTAAATGTAGTAAAATTAACTCTGTTTTGATATTTTATTAATTTATTAATCATTTGTTATCATAATTGGGGTAAACAATTATGTTTGTGAATTTGTCAACTTATATCAAATGTATGTCTTGAGTATAAATGTCCTTTTCCAATAAAAATAAATAGTAGTGCGCGTAGCTCAATGGCCGTTTATAAAACAAGTCCGTAATATAACATGTGCGAATTAGAAAATTGAAAAAAAGTCATCCAAACTGTCAGTCAGAAAGTTTTCACACGGAAGTCGAAGTCCCAGTTATGCTTTGTGCCAATGGCGAATAGCAACATGGTGGATATAGTAACAAATATCTCGGTCACGCAGACGCATCAGCTCTTGTATAGATTAATATCTTAAATAGTCCGGCAAACCTGATAAGATTGTCCAAAAAATAAACTACACTGACGTGCCAGAAGTAGCCGGTCACTATGGCGACATGTTTACATTTTGATAATATGAATTACGAAAAGCCTTTTGAAGCAAGCGTAGTATTATAACTGATGTGATCCATTGGGTTGAAAACGTGACAAAATGCTTGGCGGCAATAGTTATTTAACATAAAGTTTAAGAAACACTTCCTTCTTTGAATATTGTATTTATTGTATTCCTAACTTTTTCATTATGTTTTGTTTTTCATTGTATACCCTTTCGGACAACTAATGGCTTGGTCCCGTTCAACCAGACGTTTGTCTGCGCACATGATCAAGTATGTTTGGAATTCCACTTCCATGTCACAATCCCATAACTGAGAGTATGTGTGATTTTATCTTTCTGTCTTTGTTATTATTATCATCTTTATTAGATGTAAACTGATGCCTCATTCGCTACAAAAATTCCACACTTACTTTTTGTACATAAGGCACCTTTGACCCGAGACAAAAAATCCGCGTAGGGATTGATTTATGCAAACTATGGATATAAGTAGGTGTTGTCTCCTTCCAAATTCTTTGTACCTCATGGAACAAGTGACTGGTCGATTTAACAAATGTTATACGTGACTGTGGTTTTCTTTTCACATACCACCAAACATTTTCAATAATATTTAAACTGGCGACATGCCAATTCATGCAGTTTATGCCATTCTGGGCAACTTATACCTGAGTGGACTTCTTGAGATTTCACAGCAATAATATTCCCATAGATAGAAGTCAGTGCCGCTGCCCCATCTCAACAAATACAGGCCCAAATCATTACTTCGTGTTTAGTAGGCGCGATCACGGCTGGACCAATACAGGCAAACTTGGTGGTCCTTGCAAATTACCGTTTTGCCTTCGTCCAAGAAGATGACGTTTTTCTAGTTGTGTTCAGTCCATTTCCTTTTTTCTTTTCACCTTTTGTCTCTTGGCCCGACTCGCATGTCTCACCACAAATATTTTCATTGAATTCAAGAGGGATATTAAAACCCACCTGTTTACGTCTGCATTTTAGACTCTCACGCAGACGTCCTGTATATACATACTTTCACCACTACTTACTTGATTTGGTTACTGTGTTACATATGTTGATTACTGTGTTATACATGTTCTGTAAATTTTGTAGTAAGATTATTATGTAATTGTGAAGCGCATTAGAGTATTTTGTCAAAATAGATAGTGCGCTATATAAATGTTATATATTATTATTATTATTATTATTGAAACTTGTCTATGGTACCCATGTCTGTGTAGATGGCGTTGAATAGCTCGTTTTGAGATAAAAGAACTTCTTTCTTGCTTAAATCTAGTTGTTCCTCCCAGGTTGCCTTGCATGTACAATCCGCTCTCCGCTCAAGATCACTTGCTGTAAGCACGGTCTCTCACCAAACGTGGCCCCCTTTTTTTTCTTTTTTTTCCCCACTGATCCAGAACTTGAAAATGAATAATATCTATAATGGAAGATTTAGGTACCATTCGCAATCATATTTTCCACATCAATTGAAAGCTAACGTTTTTTCGTCCCATTTTGAGTGAAGTTTTTGCGGGGAAAACCATGGAGAAGACAATAAAAAAAATCACTAAGAAAGCTTGAAATAGCGCATTTCATCATCAGGGACAAAGATAACGAAGGACTTTTAATATTCGGCCGTGACAGAGAATATATATACATGCTGTCGTTGTGACCGAACACTTCCGACACGTTTCTGTAGGAAAAAGGAAACAGCATTATCAAGTATCTTAGGAAGTTAGATCTCCATAAAATTAGTTTAAATGAAATTGATATTGTCACTTAATATATTTTGTCAAGTTTGCTTACCACAGTAAAATACCTGATATTGCCACGCTCGGTCCAAAAATGCTTTATCAGAATTCATGATATCAAAAGTGATTTTCCGTACAATATTGCTTTCCAGCCTATTTAGATTGGTCCTCACTATACAAAATCTCTCTAGAGGTTTAAACCTACAAAAAGTCTAGAGAAAATATGTATTGTAGTGGCCATTGCAAATATGCAGGAAAGTAAAGTTGTTGCATTGAGACAAATGACTGGAAATACTTAGTTTACAAGGTTTGATTGCTTTGACCCAAATGGAAGTTTGTAGAAAAACCTCTCCATTGATGTACCATTGAAGACTATTAACTGTATATGCCTAAACGCTGACCCATACACGGGTCGCTAACTTTCGTGTCTTATTTAGGGAGGATTTCTTTCAACCGCCACCAAGACAAAATCAGATCACGGATAAAAATAGTCAGAAACCTTCAGACTAAATAAACATCTCATAATACAAACATACGATATTTATACATACATATCACACTGGTGTAAGCCAGTTATACAAATATTGCTTGCTTTGACACAGATGAAGACAGCAAACAATATTTGAATGAAAAAAAAAAAAAAATACAACTTGAAAACCCATACCTGCCAACCCTTACTTTTTATGCAGGAACGAGAAAGATATTTTTGCCTAGTAATGCAAACTTTTCTCCAATGTTTTTGTTTCAAAAGCCGACATACTTGATGAAAAGATTGATATAATTGCATCTAACGGAATATGTGGATGCAGAACATGTTTGGCGGGGACAGACGGTTACAAAATTGGAGTGGCGCTGGTACGAAAGATGGAAATCGGGTCTTTGTAAGTAGACATGTCTGTAAAGCACTATTACCATTAAACTGCGATAAATTTGACTCAAGTAAACATACGTTTTCTTTTTTAAAATTCTGTGAGATACAAATTTTCTCATGAATTATTTGAGACGTGATTAAAGGTTTTATATCAGTTTAAAACTATGTTTACCAAATATGTTGCGAAATCGTTCCCTTAATTTTCATATTAACAAGTTTTCACTAAATTGTGATTTCAGGACACCAAAATTAATTTATTTTGTTCATGTGGAATCAAAGCAATTATGTTGATATAAGATGACAACAACGTTATTTCAATTTACATTATTAGAAGAAATAACAAATATATACCTAAAATACTTACATACAATAACTAAAGCAGGGTAGCAGGTTATAAAACGAGACACACCTAGTACTCATTATTTTGACGTGTGATCGACCGTGCACTTCGGAATTCGGAATTTGGAATATACACCTTGTATGAATCTGTATGACAAATATATGTTTATAGCGCTGTTGTCGACAATGTCGATAAAGACAACCTAGCCATGGAATTCTCGGCTTACCTCAGGTCAGTATCCTGGAAGTATGGCAAGTGTGATGATAGCATCGTCATCTTCTACTCACAAGAGGATAGGAAGGTACGTTACTACATCTTGAAGAACTGGAAATTGACATTTGTCTTTTCAGTCAAAATTTTCATCATCTAACTGCATTTATATAATTATAAAACTGAAATGGTTGCTAAAATTTAAAACATATCCAATTGTCCTTTTTACACAATTTGATTACATTGTTTTTCTTAATCCATTAAGTACACTTAATTTGTCATTTTTAATCAATAGCTAGTTTTAACTACAATGTCCTTGTTACCCAATATATAAGTTAAATGCATTGTCCTTTTTACTTAAAAGTTTGTCTAAAGTACATTTTATTTCCAGTTTAAATCGAATATGATGTCTTTTGGTATACCAGTGCATGGTGAGATGTCTGTTCACGTGAAATATGGTACTAATCTATGATAGAAGACTCAAATTGCAATATATACAAGTATTTATTCTGTTTTCAAAGGTGATGACATCGACTGGTGAGAGAGTGAAACAAGTCCTGTCCATTAACTGTACTGGCGCCATCTTTAACGAGGCTAAACCAATGTTGAGAAATGACCATGTGTTTGAGGCGCTGGAGCACATGGTTACTCGATACGGGTAATCAATTTTGACATGAATAATATCGTACAATGTAATATTTTAGTAACTTATGTATACTTGAGTACATGTTTAGGATTGCCGTTGTTAATTAATCATTTGTACAATTTATGTAAATATTGTATATACTTTCTATATATAGAATATGGCAACTCTTGCCGAAGGCAGCCAAAAATGGTGTGATGTGTAAATGGAGTGGAAAGAGAGGGGTGGTTTACTGCATACTAAGCCGTCAACATTTCTAGGATATCCAGATCCTTTTTCTGTGCATATACTGATAAAAATATTGTATTTTGCCAACAGACAAGTTTTGCGGACCGGCGAGTGCTACCCATCACCAGAGCCCGTGGAACTGAGTATAGGAATGGTGATACTAATCGTCATTATCTGCTTCTTTGTTCTGGTCGCGGCCGTCATTGGGGGCGTGTGCGGTTGGCGCAGGACTCATGGCGGTTACCACAGGGGAAGATCTAACGACCCGGACAGTAGCCGTGGTGATCCGGAAAAGATCGATGACGAAGGAACTAATGACCCTGACAAGAGCTCTGGCGATCCGGAAAAGTTCCGTGGTGGGGAAACTGGAGATGGAGGTGGTGTTGCTGGCGGGTCTTTCTAAAGAACATTACATCAAATGAAAATGTCGGAGAAATTGACTACTAAGCATTTCTAGATATTGTGAAATAATACTAGATAAGATTGTATTACACCAAAAATAACAAGATGCTCCTCTTAAAATGTTTTCAGGTGGGAAATTCACAATCCCTCGATCTATGATACGAAACGGTACATTTTTCTTTACAAGAATCGAATGGAAAACGGCAGATTTCAGTATTTAAAGTGGCAGTTTCAGGCGTCCCCGCTCGCTAATACATAGTAAAAACCAACTTAGATTCAAAGACGTAGTCTGTTTGAAGGATTTTTTTTTTATCTTTTTATGTATACATTAACACGAACTAGAAAATCGTTACATCTATTAAATGATGATAATTTATAGATATAACAGAATATAAATTATCTAGGATCTAGTATCACCTGTTCACAGTATGTTAAATGATCGTCATTGCCAACATTCTCCTGTCATCTGACCCTAAACACAACAAGTTCATTTAGACATACCCTGCCACACAATTGTAACATGATTAACATTTGCATCCTAATCTAACCTTTATAATGTTGACAAAGTTACTTATTGTTAAGTACACAATAATACCGTTAATATGTTTGTGTTATCACCTAGTTAAAGTCTATCATGTGAACCTAATGCATGACTCGAGCTGCATGTTGGTATTTTATTGTTGATTTTGTGTACATGTAGAAATTAATATCATGTTAAATATCCTACATCAAGTGTATACACCATGTTTATATAGTACATCTTATTGCCATTTCATGTGAGATTTTCTTAAAGGTATCGTAGAAGGTTTTATTTTTGATAGCCTAGAGGAGACGGGTGTATTAGGACAAATGTGATGATTATAAGTTTTGTACATGTTTGCTAAAATAAATCTGATCCCATCCAATTTTCCATGTGTTTAGGATGTACCGTCGAAACTCGATATTTCGAAATTCAAGGGACAGTGGAATTATCCAAATTCTGTTTTGACCACGTGTAGTAGATCAAACAATAACAGTATGCCTCTCACCACTGGTCTATACATAATTCACTTATGGTCTATACATATCAATAATTAAATTAAGCTCGTCTCATTATTTTTAAACATCTGACATATGTATAACTGTACAAAATGTTGTATAATTTAATTAACATAATAATAACTTTTAATTGTTCATTCGTCCTTTTGTATGAAATTTGTTTCAATCTAGTTATAATTTGACATCATCTATGAAAACATTAATAATTCATTACGTCAATTTGTGATAACAAAAAACCTGTTTGTGATTGGCAAAGATGTTCAGTCTGATAAAAGCCGAAAATCTAACTGATTGTAAGACATGACGTTAGTTGTACAAAAGGAATGACTTAAGAGCTTAACATTTGTATTTAAATGTTAGATTTAAGTTTTCATTGTGCTGTGTTAACACTGATGAATGAAAAATGTATAAACATGCTTACTTACGACGTTACCGTCTGTTATACTAAGACATGACATCACGCTCGCTATAAGGCTAAGACTAGTACAATTGATGAGATAATGAAATAAAGTCAGAAAGTTCCTGATCAAAAACTTCTGATATACAAATGTTTCGGGAATGTTTAATCCGAAGTATGTATTTGTGTTGAAAGTAAATATGTCTTATGAGTAACGAAATTTTTCAAATATATATTGTGCGCGTACAACCACGTCACTGACTGAGTTTAAACATTTTAATTCCGTGCAATATCACGTAGGCGAAACTCTCCATATAATGTGTAAATAATAGTTATGTGTGTTTAAAAACATAATTGATTTGAAACTCTCTGAGCATGATTGCACGTTTTAGCCTTGCGTGACCACATTACCACCCGGAGATGGCCTCAGTTTTATGCGTAGCATTTAATTCTTTGGAGTACGTAAAGGAATTATGGTATCACAAATCGAACAGCTCGTAACTGACATGGCCTGCTACATGCATGCTAACTTAAAAGTGCAAAATAAAACAACAATTTCTACCTTATATCAGAAGAGTTCCACAAACTAAGGTAGCAGGAAACAGTTAATTTGCATTTTTCTTGTGATTATTGGTTATGTCTTAGGTATACAGGTATAGCAATTTGGTTATGAAAAATGCAATATTACATATATATCTATATACTAAATAACAATTACATTAACAGTAGAGAGATAAAATTTGTGTAAATGAAAAAATTTCCTCCGATTTCTGACATGTGATTGCCATGGTTACCTACTGAAAAAATGCTAACAATGCAAAAATACTGCTAATTCCAACTTAACACTTCAACTTTACAGAGGAAATTTTGATCAAAACGTTTATAATGGGGTAAACTGATGAACCATACCGAGAAACTGTGTACTGCGACCTAACTACACGAAGGGAAATAACTATGTCTTGCTTATGATAGTTGTATAGACGGTACTGATTGTAACGTCATACTCCCCGTCTGGTAAGGTAACTCAAAGAATCACCTATTAGGAAATGAGAATGTAAATACAAACATATGACAATAAATCTACACGGGGGGAAAACTAATAAAGAGTATACTTAGTCTAAGCTAGTAAAATCACTAAAAATTATCCATCGTTAGGAATCAACACCACCATTACGTTGACCGGACGCGTTTAGATAGTAGATTTACCGTTCTGGGTTACGACACGCCATGCGAATTTTTTTTCCATCGCCACTGGGAATAACCTAAGTAACCACACTAAGAGGCCAATAAGTCTTTGCTACTTTTTTGTCCCTAAGGAGAACCACATCATCGGGATGAAAATTTCTTTGTTGGGTTATCCACTCACGACGGTTTTGCGAAATCTCTGACTTCCAACGTCTCCAGAACATTTCGGCCAATATTTGAACCCTTTCCCTCTGTACATGTTTTTGATATCCGTTGAATCAGAATTTCAACAATTGAATCACTTTTGTAAGTAGAACAGATGGACTCAACGGGTAGGAGTTGTCTGGATCTGGCGACACACGTACCAGAGGTCGCGAATTCATTACTGCCGACACGTCCGCTTTAAAGGTTGTCAAAACTTCGTGGGTGAGACCACCACCTGGTAGGTCCCTCAACAAAGCATCGAGGATCTTTCTTGTTACACCAATCATGCGTTCCCACACTCCTTCCATGTGGGAGACTGTGAGACATTGAATTTCCAAACAGAATCGTTGTTGGAAAGAAAGTTCTTCACTCCATCATCCATTACTGATTCAATGAAATGGAATCCTCTGTTTGATCTGTGCACTTTCACTTTTCCTCGTATGGCTATGAAGCGACATAAGGCGTTGATAACGGATGACGAAGTCGTCTCTTCGATTTCCTCTATGTGGACAACCCTTGTTGTCAGACAAGTAAATAGTACAACCTAACGCTTGGGGTTGGTTTGTCCACCTCTTGTGGGACGTGACGTAACCTTTCAAAAGATTTTCCAAAACAGTCAATACCGACAGATGTAAATGGTGGTCTCGGAACCAGACGATCACGGAGTAACTCGGACATCTGCTGATAACTCAGACCTTCTCAAAGTCTTCGACATTTAACATATTTATGAATGACCGATGACACCAAACGTTTCCCGCGCTGCGAGGGCACCTTCAGTGAGGTGACGACCCTTCTGTTTGACTTGGAATCAGCAATATACCTATATGATGGGCATCTGAATAGGTCGTTTCTGAAGTAAGCTAATATCAGAATTGTCCAAACGTCCACCAATCCGTAAAACACCCTCCTAATCAATGTATGGATTGAAACTCAAGATAGGACTGTCCTTGTTTAGAGCTTTATCCACGAAAAACAAACTCAATTTCCTTGCTGAAAACTTCCCGCTGCACTTGTCTGATAATCAGCATTTCAGTAGAAACTCATAAATATGTAACCGTGTCCTTGTTATTAAGCATATCAGTTCCACTGTTGGAGCCTGCAAGCCTTCGAGCAAAACCTTTCGAAACATGACAGCCCACACTAAGCTTTCTCAGTGCGATAACTTATCGAACCGAGCCATTCCAAGCCTCCAATTATGCTGAATTGAAAGTTTTAGACTTTCCACACCTAGGAGAATATCTGCATCATTCTCTGGTGATTGTAACTCAAACACCATGCCTGTACCAGTGCCTGATGTGTCGGTGGAAAGCAATTCCGGGCCTTTAATCCATACGTTGTTCTGTAACAAATGAGTCAGGGCAGACCTGGTACCTAAATCTGCTGGATTGTCATTGGTCGACACATAGTTCCATTGATCTGGCTAAGTTGACCGCAGAATTTTCCACATACTTTATTGTCAGAATGGAACTTCATCTGTTGTTCTAAATGTTCCGATACAGTTTCTGCTAGCTCTGCAAGCAATCACCACTGAACAGAGTTCCAGACGTGGTATTGTGTGTCCAAGTTTAGACAATATTTTGGACATTCCGATGATGCAACCCACATGAACATCTCCGTTAACATCCACAGCCTTCAAGTATGCCACAGCACAAATGGTCATTTCTGAAGCATTACAGAAAATGTTCACTTCCTGCCTCAGGGTACTTGTTAGAAAAGCTGGTACACATGTACGAGGGACGAAGAAATCCTCCAAATGTTTAAGCGATTGACACTACTTTGTCCACTCTTTTTGTACTCGATCGTTAGTGGTTCATTCCAGTCAGTAGTGTCTGACATTATATCTCTCATCAGTATCCTACCGTGAAATAAACCCTAGATGGTAAAACAGACTGTTGATTGTTGATAATACGCCTCTCCAAACATTATCATGGATAACAAAGGTGAAAATGTCAGAGTTCAAATTCCAGGTCAAACCTAAGCCCTGTTGTAAAGGTAGACCCCCTTGACTTCTATCCACATCTATGAGGTCCTTTTTTGTTTAAATCTTCTTTTGGAAAGGCGTTCATGACTTCTCTGCTATCAGAGGCAATCTTGTGAAGGCGCAGATTTCCTCCGGCAGCTAATGCTTTCTGTGATCGTTGCATCAAATCTATAGCACTTGAAGCAGTTGGGAATGATGTCAACCCATCATCAACATAGAAGTCCTTGTGAACGAATTCAGCCACATCTGAACCGTAGACTACTTCCTCCGATTTTCTTTTACGGAGACCGTATGTGGCAATCGCGAGGGAGGGGCTTTTCCCAAACACATGAACGTACACTCTGTTTTCTACCAGTTCTTCGTCCGGGTTGTTGTCATTGAACCAGAAAAACTTCAAGAAATAGCGATGCTTCTGTTCTGGTCCGAATACTAAAACACTATTTAACGAAAGACCGTTACACTTAGCAGACGAATAAAAAACACTCGAATATGATCCTTTTTCTTTGATTAACACACTCCGGAAATATGAAAGTACCAACTTTCCTCATTCGAAGCTGTCACAAGAGCTAGCTCCGCATGGCCGTTGTCAAACATTCGCTTCATAAATGTCAAGAAATGTTCCTTTTCTCTCCTCAATCCTGATCAATGCAATATTCCCATTGTATGGAAGTTTAGGGCGGTTTCTATTTAAACGGAAGAGGGGCAATACCATTGTCTTTACTGTTATTACTAAATTTTGCTTCCATTGTGTGCAAGGAATGTTTATTGCATCACCTTTAGTTTGGTGAAATACGCACGAGCTGATCTCATTATGTTGGGTGTTTGTGGAATAAAGAGTGTCTTTCAATGTAAACTGATTACCATAGTGAGGAAATACGAATTGTCTCGCATCCTTTAGAACAAAAGTTTTCTTTGATCAGTTTCGGACAATGTACGGTATGTCTAACCGACGACAACCGATCCAAGATGAAACTTCTGAGCGTACGTTGAGCCTCTCGGACCAATCCTCTGCTCCAGTACCTGATGGACTTCAGGTAAGTTTCTGTGACTGGTTATCTCCGTAGAAATGCCTAGAAAATGAGGATGATTCTTTACGGTGTAGGGATTTCCTCTCTGACGTTAGGTATCTGACTGCATTCTGTTAGACATTGTAATTCAATCGATGATCTACCACCAATGTGTTTGATGATGACTCCTTCAGCGTCCTACGACCAGATGTTTCAATCACTCCTACACAAGATGAAAAGGAGTAATGTACTTCTGTATATTTTTTTCTTCGTTAAAGTTGTCAAAAAATTCTGGTGCTGCTAGAGACTTGTTACTTTGATCGTCTATCAAAGCATACTTTTATAGTCTTTTTTCGTATTATCCTTTGGGTGTACTTCTATAAGAGTTACCAACGTACATGACTTCCCAAGTGACTTGACTTCCCTGCAAACCTTTGAACATGCAGATTTAATTTCTTGCACCTTCTGACTTCCTGTATCGTTCATGCCGTTCTCCTTTACCTCCCCGCCATGCGCATGTAAGACTGTTGGATGGCTTCTACAACCACACAGGTTACATCTCACATTCACTTTACAGAGTTTGGCGTGGTGTTCAGAAGTCTCAACATTTACAGCACAAACCCTTGTCTCTGATAAACCTTTTTCTCACATTTAAAGGCTTTCATTTGAAGCTGCGACACAAGTACAGTAAGTTTCTATCAGTATTGTGAAATGGACGTTTGTATCCTTTCACTTTCGGTGTCCTTCGACTTTTCTGGTTTCGAACCTCCAACCTCAGTTTGCATGATCTAATGTAAGGAGATTTCACACTGCTACTGTTGCTGAAGACCTTTGCGACATTGCTTGTGTTGTCTCTGGTTGGATGTGTCCTCGACATGAGGCTGGTTTATCAAGCATAGAGCTCATTTCCTACACAAAATCACAAAACACAGAGAATGGAAGATAGGCCACACTGTGTAACTTCATGTACCTAGTTGCTTTATGAGTCTGTTTCCCTTGTAGATGATAGGTCAGCTTCTGTACTATTGGATTAACCCCAGTTGAAGAGTTAAAGTAGCTGAGAAGTGATGCTGCATAGCAGACGATTTTTCCATTAATATGTCGCTGAGGTCATAAAGTTTCTTATAGTCTTTATTTCCAAGTTTTGGGAATGCTTGAAGTTTTCTTTTAAGCGTTGATTACACCATTTCTGGGGAGCCGAATCTTTCATCGAGCCTTTCCCATATTTTCCTTACACCACCTACTGGTTTGCCAATATCAGATGACCTAATATTAATAGCATGTTTCGACGATTCTTGACCTAACCATTTTACTAACAAATCCAATTTCTCCATGGGAGAAACACGAATTTTAGAACGCATAATAAGTAGTTAAACATGTTTTTTGTAAAATTTTGATTTCGTTTGGATTTCTTGGGATTTTTTTCAGTTAACAAACCAATGTATATCTAGTAATAATTTGTGATAAATTACGATGTAAATATCCATGTATTTCAGAAAAGTCATTTTGCATATTGATTAGTGGCGTTACAAAAACTACAGCTCCTGTTCTTTGTAACATTAAAAACCCTATCTCGAGTGAACGAAATGCTACATACCATAAATACTCGACATACCAACGACTTTGATTACATTATTTTTGCTGATAAATGTCTTACGGTCCATTTTATAGCTTTATCTATACCACTACTTGTCCAACACTTTTGTTCAGGTTTCTCTGTATTGTGTTTTCCTTAATTGTATGCTCTTTTAGCATTTATTATGAATTTTTCCAATATATTGGCAAATACATTTTCTCTTGTATGTATATCATGCATTCCTGCCTTTTAATTCCATCCTATGCTGAATGTAGCACAGAGGTTATAAATGCAACATTTCTAGCCTACTTTGTGCTTTTATGAATGTATTCACTATTCTTACTCTAGCAAATGTAGCTTTCTGTACTACTTTATGTTTAAACACCTTTATACTTGCACAGCAAATACAGCTGTGATATGTTTTGTCTTTGTAAATTTTCCAATATTTCTTTTTATAAAACATGTGCTTGCATCTTGCATCTCGTTGATATTTAGTTTTGTTGGTATCTTAAACATGGTTCTTTCGTTAAAATAGTTCTACAGAGCTTATTTTCATCCTGTACAGTTTGCACATGTGATATCAAACGATTAAATTTCATGATATTTTGAGGATAAACATCAAATTAATTTCTGATTTATTATACTTTTCAAAGAAAATTGGGTGTAAAAAGATAAACAAGAGGTTATTAAAGGACACAAGCCATCACATTCACTATACATTTTATTGTATGTGGTTTTTAAAGACAGAATAAGATATATTAACAAAAATCTTAATTATGTAAAACTGGTAATTACAAGTATACACTTATAAAACATATACCAGTTACAAAGGCTGTAAATACCTATCATTCATATATATATATATATACCAGTTACAACGGTTGTACATATTAATCACTTTCATCAGTGTCACAATAATATTCACAAAATTATTAAGTCCACAATACAAATGTATGACCCACAAAAAAGCGTGTAATGCTATAACAATATATACATCTGTATTTACAGGCACATATCACAATACCAATAAAAGGCAAAAAAAAAACTATACTGATTCAAGAATGAAATAGTAGATTCCATCACATCGTCCTGTTATATATACATTTATACAAGTACACCAAAACTTGGGTAATTTGAAGTCGTCAACTTCAACATTGACTGTACATTCTGATGGTGGCAGGTATCATTTATTATCTTCTTTTTCTATTATATAGGAGATCATCAACAGGACACAGTCATGTTTAATGTTAAATGATGTTACAACACCAAAGTTGTTTTCAACACCCTTAAATAATTATCATATATATATACAAATTCATGTGTGTATGTTGATTGTATTTAAATAGTCCATGTCAAAATGGTGCTTTTGTCTTTTCTCCATGTAAATCTTCACTACATGAGAGGGCATCTGTTGGAGGTACAGCATGCCATCCAGTCTGTCATTCTAAATACATGACATACATACATATATATACATTTTGTGTATCACCTCACAATATCGCACTGTTTTTGCTGTTGTTACCTTGTATGCATCTCCCAATATTTGCAAATTATTTTTACAATTACATAACCCACATATTAAATATTTAAACATGCCGAGTAACATGTTTTATTATATACATATATATTTACACTTTATAATTAATATTTAGGCTAGCTTAATGTACCAAAAATACATACATACATATGTACATGTTGTATTCATTTTGTCATTTCCTGGGTAAATGTACCAGCTGAAAGTGCTCTCAGAAGCAGTTCCTAAATAGCATTACTACATACAGTACATGGACAATTACAGAGCACATGAGTGCTTACATGGTATGGAAACAGTAGTACAAAATATTTGTTTAGTATTTGCGAATCCTTCTATTGTTATCAAGTTTATTAGGAATCTGAGATGTTCAAAAAGTAATATGAAATCTTTAATGATTTGTTCATATTTACAAATCTTCATTGATTTGTCAAGTACTTCAGATATCTAATATTTTATAAGGTATCAGCATATCCTGAAACATTACTTGTACAATTTTAATGTAAAATCATATGTCCAGTTTTCATAAATCCCAGACGATTTGTCCACCATTTACAAATCCCAAATGATTAGTCCACCATTCACAAATCCCAAATGATTTGTCCATCATTTACAAATCTCAAATGATTTGTCCACCATTCATAAATCCCAGATGATTTGTCCAGAATTTGGGAATTCAGAATTGATTTGTCAAGATCCATATATAGTCTCCTCAGCAATAATCTTTAATACAACACAATGAACATCTCTGCAGAAAAGCATACCTAAAGGATAAATATCCATCATATGTCTGGCAAACTGACAAAAAACTTTACAATAAAACAAAAATGAAATATATAGAGACAAAAATCACAGCATCAAGATATCACATCACTATTATTCCGTCTATTAGACAAAGTACAAATTAAATTTATTATGTACTAAAAGCTTTAATTAACGATATCAAAACCAAACAAACAGTACCATAATTTCAAAAACAAGTGTTTTCATTGTCATCCCTATGACAACAACAAGAGTTGTTAAAATATTCAATAGGGCTCAAACCACGAAAGAATCTTTTTTTTTTTTGTTCTTTTAAAAGTACAAATCAATGTTTCATGTGATACAATAAATGTCCACAGAAATCCTTAAAATTTCAGCAACAGCCATAGTTCATACGTGGATCATCAGCAGGAAGGTCCTGCTTTGGGCCCCTTCTCTGTAGAGTGTAGGGGTAGCACTCGCTACAGTAGCCCCTCCTCAGTCCACTTCCAATATTTTCACATCCAGTTCTCTTACAAAGTACATGGCTCTTCATGTTATTTTCGACAGTAGACATAGCTGAGTGAAATTTAGCATTTTGTGAAGCCACAGGGAGAGGGGAGGGGTTCACATAATTATTGGTTGGAGGCCTTGAAAGATTGTTCATCATGCCTCCATTTGGGGGGCCTTGTACAGGACTTGGATGAGGAGTTAGTTGTCCAAGGATGGTGTGTGTTGGCGGCTGCTTCTCTGCTAGGTTGTAATTCATCATCTCTCTCGAGCTGTATCTGTTGGAAGGAGGGGGCTGGGGCTGGAAGGCAGACATGGCCTTCAGGTAGTGTTCTGTACATCTGAAGTACATATTCTCGTCTCCATACTTGTCACAGCCAGGTTCCAAACATAACTGTGACTGAGAAGGAACTTTGTAGTTTCCTCCAGCTTGAGCCACCACAGGGGTATATCCAACTGCACCTTGATTTATCAGTGGATTGATGCAAGTACTTGGAGGTGCCTTTATCCTGTCATGCATGGGCAAGTTTGATAAAGTAGGTGTTTGTTTGAAGTTTGCTTCAGCTGAAATCCTTTTAACTGAAAAAAATAATTGTATATGTTCTAAATGATTATGAATTTAATTAACACAAAAAAATAAACAAAAAAATAACAATTTCCCTTAAGATGACCAACATATCTAATGTTCATTTACATTATTCAATACTAGATAAATTAACGCACTACCAATGATTTATTTGTAGTTTCTTTACACTTCAAATACCTTTAACCAGCCATACTTTAAGGGCTTCTTTTACTATTGCATAATCATTTGCATTTCCTCTATTCGTAAAAAGCCTGATACATCAGTCATATTTTTTGAGGTACATTTAGTTTTGCTCACCTCATGCTTTCACTATGTATTTTAGAACAATGACTTTAATTGTCCTTTCTCTACATTTGAAAAGCTATAATCCATTATGCTTTAGAATATTGTATCTACTATGACCTTTAGTGAACATGTCATCAGTCATGTCCTTAATAAGGGAGAATGTTGCTAGATTAAATTACCTTCTTTGTAGCACTGCGAACAATATCCATCTGTTTTGCTACTACCATGAAAATCACAATTTTTTTTCCTACACTTTGGTCTAGATGGCGAGTAGCTCTTAGTTTTCCTTTCTGAAATAAAAGAAACCACAAAAGTGTTAGAGTTCCATGGACAAAAACAAGGAGAAAAAAATCTGATTATTATCCGAAGTCAAAGATTATTGGTTGTATAAGTTCCTGATCAAAACTCTACATCTAAAGTTAGTGCTAAACAAACTTTCAGCTACAAATTGTTTTAATTTTCAAAAAATGAACAAAGAGCAAATCTATCTTCATGTTTTGGTAAAGTGAATCCATGTGGTCACTTCCTGATTTTGTATGCTTACCATGGCGTGGTGAGGTTTGTTCCTCAAGTGATCTAGTTTGTCCCTGACGCAGGACTTCAATGCAGTCATCACATAGTTTGTTGGGTGGGTATACCTTTTTGCTACACAAAGGAGAAGCACAATCCCGTTTGTCTTTAGATGTAGTAACAATTGGGTTCATGGAATTTATCTCTGATGTGTTAAATTTGGGTGCTGCTGACTCTTCTGTTGATTCAGTAGTCACGGCTGCTGGCACTTCAACACTCCTTGCACATCTAGTCCAGCAATCAAGGCAATATCCAAAATTGTTAGCTATTCTAACACCACTGCATCCTGGTGTGGAGCAGAGTTGTTTCAATTGTTCTGGTGATCCTGGTGACTGCCTCTCACCTCGATGTAGATTAGCTTGCTCTTCCTGGCTTTGTGCTTCTTCTGTAATGACAGCATATGAACTCCCTGATGTCTTTAAAGATGCAAATTTGTGACCACTTGCTTCAGGGTAAGAAGGACGTTGGCCAGATTCCTGTGGAGAAGGTGTACCTGTAGAAGTGGACTTTTGAGTTTTGAAATGATTAATCACATGAGTCTGTGATGAAGGACCAGGGCTGAAGACAAAATTACTTGAAAGAGAGTTGACTTCTTCAAATTCCTCTACAGACAAAGCAGATGGTGCAATATCAAGCTTGCCAAGTTCTTTACTAGGAGGAATAGGATCTCCTTCTCCAAATAAGCTGTTTTCATCTATGCCTTCAGCTCCAGCTCCTTGTGTTGGTACTACAGGTTCTGCTCTCTGTCTAGCAGGTGTTGCAGATGTACCAGAAAGTTCATCTTGTCCAGGTGACAAAATGTTACTGTTTGAAGTAGTTGAAATATGGGGCTGTGACTGAAGTTGTGTAATTAATGCTGTCTTTTGCATGAAGAAGTCTTCACATTCGTGACAAAAAGGCTTTGCAACAGCAGAAAAATTATTACATTTTGGATTCCTACACTTCGTTTCCATGACAGCAGTGTTTAATGGAGTTGCAGCTCCAGCTTCTGGCATTGGTTGTCCAGGTTGTGATCCCTGTGGCTGGGGTTTACAAGCATGACAGTAGGGGTATGTGTGTTCCGAACACCTGTTGCCACAATTAGGATTACAGCAGTTGACCCCCATGACTGAGAGGTCTGTATAACTCTCCTGTCCATGGATCGACAATGGGGGAGCAGATGGTTCACTGGGTACATTCCAACCATTCCTTTGTGATTCTCTCTTATTAAACTCCATGGTATATTTCCTGAAACAAGTGGAGCACATATTTCCTGTTTCTGGTGACCCAAACATTGTACACCCAGAAGTAACACATGGTGGTAAATCCATTCCATTGGGGGTAGATATGAGTGGATTTGTTCTCTGTACTGGATCAAGTCTTCCATGAGGTACGCTGGGAATGACTACCTTTGTGGTAGAGGTTGGAACCGTTTGACAAGCACCAACCACCATCTTGCCACCAACAGTAGTCTGTAAATTAGGAACACCCCAGTTCAAAAATATCTGTTCACATTCACGTCTGTGTACACTTACGATGTCCAGTTCATCATGTATGGACTGATGATGTAGTACGACTCCTGGAATGGTGTTGATTGAATCAGAAGAAACTACTGGAATATTTTTCACATGCATGTACTTTTTCATCAAGTCACCAGCTATATACTCTTCGTCTCTCAACAAAAACCTTACAGGAAGAGGAGTATAATCTGCCATGACTAAAGGGAGAATACTCTGACTAGATCCCTCACCATCAGGGCTATTGGCCTGTGTGACCAGAGGTGCAAAGTGGTTAAAGCTGTATCCGAGTATGACTGGTGTCTTACAAGCATCTGAGTGTTTTATTTCTAGTGGTAAATATAACCCATACAGACTGTTTTCCTGCATACTGTTTCCATACACAGATCTTGTTGTCTTTTCTGCTAACACTATTATGGGTCTTTTGAGAAGATTTGCTAGCGTAAATATGTGAACTGCCTCCAGTGTTGGGTAAGGTGTCCCTGTTGGATTTTTTCCTGGCACCAAAATATCACTGGCTGCCTGGACAACATTGCTCCATTCTAAAGTAACATCCTGTCAAAAAAAATGAAGTTAGTAAAAAATAGTCATTAAAGGTTTCAAAATAACAGGACTAATATTTGTTGGGCATTTTACAAAATAAAAATTAATTTGAGGCATTTAAGTGTCGTGTTGAAGTAGGCAAGTGTGCCAATTCATGTTAGTTATTCACATACTTCGTACATTGCCTCATTTTAGAGTGGGTTTTTTTCATTACATTTTTGTTTTTGTGTAGTGATATGGAAATATTAGAAATGCCAAAGTGGGAAAAAGGACGAACATTCTCTTAAAACAATTATAAGAACTAGTGCATAACTATATAGACATCAACAGGTGGGGTAGGATAAAATAAGAGATAAGAAATTTACATTTTATTACCTACATATACATTGTGTATACATATAAGTGTTTTACCATAAGTCACATGAATTCTGTACAGAAATACACCAAAACTGATCTTACCAGAGAGGTGACATCATAGTTGAACTCTCTTGGGTGTTGCTTCTTGAGTTCATCCTGAACAAATTTCCATCTCTGTTGGATGCTACTTGACATTCCATTAGACAATGATGCATCTCCATCTGACAATGTCAAATATAGCAGAGTTCGCAAAAACAGCTCGTTGTCCTCAATCCCCCACAGTGCCTGAGACACAGCATGTAACAGACAGTTACCATCACCTGGAAATACACGTTGGAATCAGTTTCTTCACTGTTGCTGATCTGTCATACATACTATATGTAAATAGTATTTAAACTACAGTACAGATTTACATGTACATATCATACTGTCACTAGACTCTACTTTAGAAGAATCAAATCATGTATTTTGAATTTTTTTACTTCGAGTGTAATGTTCTTCATGGAAGAAAAATGTTCAACAAGTAACAGAGTAATTAAATCTGGTTTTATAATTATTTAGCTGAATGTAGGAGTTGGACTTATTACAAGATAATGATTTAGGGGTGGGTTTATAACAGGATAATGATGTAGGGGTGGGTTTATAACAGGATAATGATGTAGGGGTGGGTTTATAACAGGATAATGATGTAGGGGTGGGTTTATAACAGGATAATGATGTAGGGGTTGGTTTATTACTAGATAATGATGTAGGGGTGGGTTTATAACAGGATAATGATGTAGGGGTGGGTTTATAACAGGATAATGATGTAGGGGTGGGTTTATAACAGGATAATGATGTAGGGGTGGGTTTATAACAGGATAATGATGTAGGGGTGGGTTTATTACTAGATAATGATGTAGGGGTGGGTTTATAACAGGATAATGATGTAGGGTTGGGTTTATTACTAGATAATGATGTAGGGGTGGGTTTATAACAGGATTATGAAATGTCATTTGTTAGTGATTCTACGTAACAGTAGTATATGTTGTTGTACCTATTGCCAAGTAGACACTGTACACAGCTATTGACACTAATAAATACATGTAACTACCAATTATAAACCGTTAACGCCCTCCTTACTCTATTACCTGTTGTTGATAATGGGTAAAGGTTTTTCACTCCATCACACCAATTGATAACCTTTGCTGTTTTGAGATCATTTTTCATATCCAGGTCACAAACACTGATGATGTACTGTTGCTTAAAGTCATCTTGGAACAAATAGAGTGCTGGCAAGCAAACAGTGAACTTGTGAAAATGTCGAAATGATGTATATTGCACATCTTTTCTGATACGATCTCGTAGTACTTTGACGAGGCGAGGAGAAGTTTCAGCAAACTTTTTCCTGAACAAAACAACTGGTCTATCCATGTCCAAGTTATTTGGTTTTTACCATACTACATTTATCTGCTGAAATATACAGAAAGACATTTGTAAGACAAACACATACAAAAAAATCCCATTATTTTCTCTTTAAAAAGGATCATTGGATACATACACGTTGTACATCAAAATCATTTTCTTTTTCCCCACACGTTCACATTAAACTGGTACAATATGTAGGTTCTGACATCCATATTTTTAATATTTTAAATTACCATATACATGTGCATATTCATATTTGCTCCACATTATCACATAGTAACAGAACTAACTACAGGTAACTAAATAAGCAATATTTACTCTTTTCTCACAGAAATACTTGAAGAAATGGTGTTGTGATTTGGCCATGCATGCACATAAACCCTACTTTTAAGGTTAAAAGCTTGCATTGTTTGTTCACTGGGGTTATTGTCTCTTCAACAACCAATCAGGTCATTTTAAGGTGAGGTTTCCTTGACGTTCATTTAACTGTGGTACCTATACCACTTAACAGCATATGAGAGGCTCATCAAATGTCATTCAAATGGAAATTCTATTTGAATTCTAGTTATGTAAAATTGATCCAGATATCAAATCTCTCATCAAATGCAGTCATATCATATGCTAAGTCTGTCTTTGGAAGATATGGACTTACGGATAGGATTTCAATGAGCAATCATGTATATGTATGCCACTTAAATACATTGTAACATCACAGAGAGGAGCACTTTCTATTTTTCATTCATAATTAATTTTTTTTCAGTATACTATCGTTTGAACTATCACATGAAATTACAAATATTCTCCAAATTTGAACATCAGCTCAAAGTTAAACAGTGTTCAGAAAACACTATAAGACTACTTCAAGCATTTATCAATATTTTCATTCTTCATGATTCAGTGTTTCTGTTTCAAAGTTACTAATTTATTCATGAAGAATATGTACAGTACCTTGATTGAAGTTTGTATTTTTTCAAATACGTTAAACAGATGTTTTAGATGTGTAAACCAGACGTCCAACTCACCCTGATCTCAATTAATCTTTACTAAAGTCTATTTAAGTGAATTGTGAAATATGTACATTCATTGCCTGGATATATTTGTGTGCGTGTACATGCACGTATATCGCTAAAACAACTATAATTATACCAAACTGAATAAAAAAATGAGAAAACAATGCACCAACACTTTCTATGATAACCACATACATATTAAGAATTGGATAGATTCGATGTTATATTGTAAGCAAGGCACGTAATGTTTATTTTTAAAGTGATAAGAAAGCACACACGACACACGTCATACACAAAGAGGGTACATCATCACCCTATACGACGCACATATGTTTTACACCCAATCTCGGAATAATCACTTTCGGTTTGTGATTCATTTTCACAGCGTTTTGTATTAATTTACCTTCATCACGAATGTACTATATAGTACCATAGTATTTTAACACCAAAACGCATACGTATCTTGAATGATACAATAATACTTACGATGGTAAAGAAAATGTTCAAAAGTATTTGGTTGTTGGCAGCTGTTAAACAGGAAACATATTGGGGAATCCCCTTTTCACTCCGCCGTTGAAAATCCCCAACCACTCATGCATGTGATATGTCAGAAATTTTTATTTTAATTGCTATTCAAGTATAAGAACTGATACATATCGACTAAATATTTACTTGAATTAGTAAAATTAAGCAGCAATATGTTATTTTGCTGATGCTTGATTCTGATATGATATAATCCAATCATATAAATTAAAAACCTTATAGAATGTACATAAACGGAAGTTTAAATTGTTCCTTTGTAGATGGTGGTGAAATGCGTACGCCGCTCCTGGCCCCGACCTCAATACACGTACCAGGAAATTAAGAAATAATTAATATCTCGAGAATAAAACAATACATAAATCTAATTAAATGTTTAAATATATGACATTCTGAATGTCTATCGAGGACATAGGCACAATTCGCATCTAATCATCCGTTTATAATGGTCGCGTGTCGTTTGTCTACTCTCGATCCCCAGGTACAGTGCCGTAACAGAAGATAGTGATTTCCCCTGCCACGGGGCCCTGTCCGGGGATAAAGTGTACACAAACGACCCACTATATGTTTCTATTCACTATAGAACGTATGTATTTACAATCAGATTTATGCAAATATTGTTTCGATTTTTCAAAAAATCGAACCGTATAATAACTTGCAAAAAATCGAGAAAAAAAACACGATTGAGTGCGGCGTACAAGTTCTGAACCCCTGAAAAATACAAATAGTCAATTTTAAAAAATCTGATATCTAAATCAATTCATCCAGTGTCATATTTTAAAAACATTTATATAGATTTATTTCCTAGTGCAGATATCGGAGCTAGGGACAGGGCCATGGCCAGGAACAGCGTACACTATTTACCCCCATCATCATCGTCGAATAGACGCTTTGAATCTGTGGAGATACGTGTTACTACATGGAAAAGGCCAACCAAAATCCATAGAGAAACACTTCAGTAGTAAGTAAGTTGATGAAGAATGGAGTTTAATATAAGTACGCACAGAAACTGTATGGATTGATACATATGTGTGGATAACAGTTTTCATCGATTAGCGTTTTGATGTGGTTGATAATACTCACCAGGCACAAACACGCAACAAACCTAATCGTAAGCTACACTATAACAACAACAAATTTAAGATACCCATATAAAAAGCCACCATCAACACCCAATCTTTCTCAAACAAAACATTTTGAAGAACTAATACAAACACTCAAACCTGATATAATCATCGGAACAAAAACTTGTCTTAGCAACAACATTTGCTCTTTCGAATATTTCCCTGTCAAAGAAGAATGAATGTACATGCAGTACAGAAAAGACAAGGCTCAAACTTAGGGACAGTACCATGGAGAGTACTCGTAGCGATATGTCACAACAACTTACTTAATCACAACAACAGACAACAAGGCATTTAGGGCAAGTCTCGCATTTGAGACACTGGTAAGACGAACTTGAAATCGCTATGAACAGATTAACTGACAAGCTTGACCTCATATTCACAAACAGACTGTCAGTCATAAACAAGACAGATACTGCATGCACCGCTCATTTGAAAAGCAGACAATGGCATTGTATGCACTGAAATTGATGTTACGCTCAAGAGATTTAGGAAAGAACCCAGAAACATTGTTAAAAAACAAAGCCAATTGGGACCACATAAGACACAATCTCACAGCACTTGGCAAACTGACAAATGAAACTGCCTGCAGAGTCCTTTTGTATCTTAATCAAATCTACTCTTCATAAATCTGTCAACAAAATTACAGCTCTTTACAAAAAAGGAGACAAAATGCAAGCAGGAAACTACAGATCGGTGAGTGTGACCAGTGTGATATGCAAGAGGATGGAAAAAGTTATTTGTACAAGGGTGATGGAGCACTTGATAAAGAATCAGTTATTGAGCAATAGATAGTTTGGGTTTGTAAAAAGGAGATCAACAGTATTACAACTTTTGAAAGTCATGGACCATTGGACAGAAATACTTTATGAAGGCGGGAGTGTTGATGTTGTATATATGGATTTTAAGAAAGCGTTTGACACTGTTCCCCATAGGAGGCTGCTAGGAAAACTGGATTGGTATGGAATATAAGAGAAGGTGAGAAACTGGATAAGGGGATTTTTGACAGACAGGCTTCAGTAAGTTAATGTAAATGATCAGACATCAGGATTGCGAGAAGTCACAAGTGGCATACCCCAGGGGAGTGTCCTTGGACCTACGCTCTTCGTCTTGTACATCAATGACTTGCCAGAGGTAGTAGATCTTTCACCTGGATATTGGCAGATGACCCATAAATATACACTGATACTAGGGAGGGGAAAGATCTACAGAAGGATTTAGATAACTTGTAGCACTGGTCAGATTAATGGCTTCTAAGGTTCCACCCAGACAGATGCCATTGGATGAGAATAGGAAGGGATACTAACAAAGATAGTCTACATATTTACAAGGCCACAGGAGATACAAGGTGCACAGTTCAGTTAAGTGAAGAGACTGAAGAGAAGGATTTGGGCATAATTATTGACAAAAAATTGAGTTTTAAACAACACGTTCAATCAGCAGTGAACAAGGCAAACAGATTCCAAGGAATTGTAAGAAGAACATATACCTATCTTGATTAAAGATTGTTCTGTTTATTGTACAAGGCATTGGTCAAGCCATACCTGGAATATGGGGCCAGTATGTGGAATTCTTACCAAATACAGGACATTAAGTTTAGTGTCCAGAGAAGGGCGACAAAGCTTCTACGAGGTTTGAAAAATATGGTATATGAGGACAGAATGAGATACTTAGATTTGCCATCGAAGGGACAGAGGAGACATGGTTGAAGTGTACAAAATACTGAATGGACTTTATGACAAGAATGCAGCAGAAAACTGATTAAGAGTGAACCAGAAAAAATGTACTTGAGGGAACTCACTATCACTGGAGAAATCAAGATGTAGACTGGACATCAGAAAATATTCATTTACACAGAGAGTGGTGAATAACTGGAATTCATTGCCAGAAAAAGTGGCCAGATTGCCAACCCTAAATACATTTGAAAATCGGTAGGACAAGTTCTGGGAATCAGAAGACAGAATGTTCAGGGTAGTGGACAGCCAACCGAACATTACATCAACTAGGAGTGACTATATGAGTAATTTAGCAAGTCAAAATTTAGATCTGAGTATAGAGGCCTAATTAAGGCCTACATTCAGAATCGACTAAGTTAGTAAGTAAGTAACAAAAATAGACCACAGAAACTCCATGCTTTCAAACACTATCTCCCATGGATAACTACAGTATCTTCAACTTCACCTTCTATTCAGCATATCCAAATGCTTTCACTCAAAATGTTGTTCAAATCCCTAACTTAAGAAAATGTACAAAACACAGAAAGCAGATGTACAGAAGCAAACACAATGCATACCATAAAAAGAAGAAACTAAAGACGTATTTACAGAAAGATTATTTATACACAAATTTGATGATACCCTATCAAAATAAGAACAAAACAAAAATTTACCTGGAGACTCAAAAAAAAAAAAAAAAAAAAACATACATGGAGAATAAAACCAGGTGTTCCATTATTGTAAGCGTCTTCTGCTTCATCAACGACACCCACCATGTAAATCTTGGTCAATCCAGGTAAGGAATATCATGTTCCAAAATCTGAACATTAGAACCTCCTTTATATTGCATGGAGAAATAGGGTATTTCTCCAGGAAATCATCATGACAACTGTTAAAATTACCCATAATCTTCATTAACTTGCACCTTTCAAAACCCTGTGTTGTGATTAGTCTGTTAGTTGTCGATATCTTGCATATGAATCATGATATTGGGAACTGCGATGTATAAATACCAGAGGTTGGGGTTGCTTGGATGTTGCTTTCCAGAGATGGAAAATTAGCAATAGGGAAACACTTATCATACAGCTGTCAAAGTCTATTTCGTTATAGGAAAAAAACAAATTTCCTGTTATTTACAAACAAGATATGATCAATATGTAAAAGTGAAATTGAAGGACTTTACAAAGTCTTTGTGACCTTTAGTTGTAAGCCGTTCAGTGAACACATAGATACAAAAAAAATTAAATAACATCGAAATGACCAAGATAGAGAAAGCTGATATCACAGCACTCTGCAGAGATGGCCACCTCTCAACAGGCACTACAACCACAAAAGCAAACATCCTAAATCAGCTTTTTCTGGCAGCATTCATAACAGAACAAAATCACAATACACAAGACAAAGAACCATCAGCACATCTCACTATGTGTGAAATACATACAACATACAACAGCATGACAAAACCACTAACCCACACAACAAGCCCAGACTAAATAGGTGGAAAATTACTCGGAGAGCTTTACAGACATCACAGCACCTATCCTCACTAGAATATTCACTAAATCACAGGCTTATTACCACATCACTGGAAACATGCAAACGTAAGGCCATATACAAAAAAGGAGACAGGAGACATGTACCACTGAACTAACTACAGACCAATATCATTCCCCTTCATTTCATGTAAACTCAGTGAACATGTCATCAAAAGCACTACAATCAAACACATTGAAAACAACAACATATTGTATGACTTTCAATATGGCTTCCAAACATCCAGATGATGTCTTATCACATAATAGCAAAAACAAAAAAGAGTCAACTATCATTATCATGGACTTTGCAAGACCATTTGTCAAAGTTTGACTCAAAAACTCAATGTACAAACTCAAAACAGTACAACCTCAAATACTAGGACATAACAGTACACAACTAAATAGATAAAAGACTTTTTATGGTGTGGTACCCAAGCAATAGTAGTGGAAGGGAAGCAGACAAAACTTACATCCAGAGTATCTCAAAGAAACTGTTTGGGCTCCATACTCTTTCTCATCTCTATAAACAGTTTTCCAGAATACATAAAATGAAGCACCCATAGACTATGCCGTTGGCAGCGTCATTTATCATCAAAGCATAACACTAGAAAATAATTCAAGACAGGAGACAGACATCTAAAACATCACTACAAATGCAAACAGATCAAAAGTGTTCCTTAAACCTAACCAATAGGTAAATATAAACTTGCAACACATTAAAAAACATGCATACAAACCTATAGTCAGAGCCAAACTAGAGTTCTGCTTTTCTATACAAGACTCAAACCAAATGAACCAGCTTGAAAAAACACAACCTAAAGCTGCATGTGACATAACAAAAAGACCACAAAGTACTAGATCAGGCAAAAATGTATACAAAACTAATTTTTCACATCCACAATCAGTGATTAATCCAGTTGCGAGTCAGGACATATGACAAATACTTTTTCAAGTTGTCCACTTAAAATTGGGAAATTGAACATTATCTATAGAGAATGCTTCATTAATTTCTCGTTTCAAATCACTGCACGATGAGACAGTTTAACCTTTTACTGGTTGCTGCAGCACAGAGCAATACACAAGAGGTCTGCAAGTCACAATAATCACGATGTAACCATTCAAGATGTCTTTATAAAACAATACTGAGATGAAACTTAGAATTTAATGTTTGAAGTGCTATTTTTCATACTTTATCTTAAGATAGTTTTTGCTCTTTCTAAAATTCCTTCGGCATCCATCAGGCCGAAGGGATTATCTGGATATTTGAGATTATTATTGTCAGTCATAATTTGTAACTTTGTTTGATGTTCTATGTGTGTGTGTGTGATGTAACTTGTCTAATACTTTGTGATTTGATAAATAGATTGCCTCAAACATTTCAAAATTTTCTTGTCCATATTGTCCTTATAACCTCATATCAAAATATATAAGGTTAGTGTTAGATAACTGGAGTTGCTGCAAATTTGACCAATCATCCATAAGACTGTAACAAAATATATGTTGTTGTTTGTTACAGACGCTCCTTACCAACACCATCAGGAAGCATGTCTGTGCTGAAGATAGCGGATACCTTGGTTCGAGGACTGCTAACAGTGGTTGGGATGGTGGTGAAACCCATTCTTGCTGTTATATTCAGTCTGGTATATGATTGGAGGTCACAGAAAGTTCCACCAGTGCAGGAGGAAATATGCCTAAAAAGTGCCACAGAACTGGCAAAACTGATCAGGACAAGAAAGGTAACTGTCTGGAAATGTCACTAAATGGGCAAAACTAATTTGGTCAAGAGGGTTGACAGTCCTCAGAGAGACATATCACAGGCAAAATTAATCTAAACAATGGGGGTTATTATCATGAAAGTGCCTTGGAGCTGGCAAATTGCATCAGGATAAGGGAGGTAACTGTCATATGTGTGCCACAAATGTCAATGCATTATGGGATCATTAGAGGGCATAACACATAACTGTGGTAGCATTAAGAGATAAACAAATAACAGCAATGTATGATTTGGTGTCAACTTCTCTTAATCAGTTTTCTTATGACTTTTGTTTGATCCCAAAGAAAGAAAAAAAGAATATGTTCACTAATAACTTGATCACCAGGTGAGTTACCATAAGAAATCTGAGAGTACAGCATCAGCTCACATTTACTTGTAACTGATAAACAAAAGCAATCAGGCTTCTCTCCCTCTCTTGTTTTGTAAGAAACCTAAATGTACTAATCTATTAGTCTTGGATTCCTTACAATTAATATTTGTTGTAGGTGAAAGCTGTTGATGTGATGGAGGCCTTCATCCATCGTGTAGGAATAGTTAATCCACTGGTGAATGCAGTAACTGCCACTAGATTTGAGGAGGCCATTCGAGAAGCAGAGTTTGTTGACACTATACTGGACAGTGGGCAGTTAGATGACCGATATTCTGAGGAAAATGCCCCATTTCTTGGTGTTCCAACATCCGTTAAGGAAGCTTTTGCTCTCAAAGGTTATTACAAAGTATAGAATAACGATATCAGTAAATATATGAGCTGTGTATTATAATACCTAACCTAGTCATGGTAATGAAACTTTTGCAATCTTTGTACCTTTCTTTTTTAAATATTTATTGAACTTTTAGTAGAATTTCACAGACATTCTCCATTTGCTTTCATTTTAAATCAAGTGAGCCCAGCAAAATTGTAGAATAGTTTATCTATTGTTTTTCTTAATGTGTCATACATAAATCCATTTTCTAGTTGAGTTTTTTTTATGGTTTTGTGCGATTAATTTTCCAGTTATATTGAATAATGTGTGATTTGTAAAATTCTTTAAACATCTTTTAGCTGCTGTTGAGTGAGTCTACAAAATATGTAGAATAGTCAATAATTCAGTTTTAAAAGATTATCTTGTTATTCGCTCAAGCATCCTGATCTAAGCTACATAATAATAGCCAGAATATAAAAATTCAAGAAAGTTAACAGAATTAGCTTTAATTATAGATATTTAGCTCAGATATTTTTCCTTTATAGGTTCTCCCAATGCCTCTGGGCTAGTGAAGCGTAAAAACAAAATTGCCACATTTGATGCTGAGGTGGTAGCTCGTGTGAAGAAGGCTGGTGCCATTCCTTACATTCTTACTAATGTTAGTGAGCTATGTATGTGGTATGAATCGGCCAACAACCTCAACGGTCGTACATGTAATGCCTACAATACCTCTAGGATAGTCGGGGGCAGCTCAGGTAAGACTTGTAATCACTGGTACTCTAGAGGAACTCGCCTAAAGTTGACAACGTGATAAATACCTACTGAAAATTAAGACCAGTTTTAAAAAGTACTGACCAGTTTTACTTTGAATTTCACCTCTTTGATCAGACCACTGACCAGTCTCAAAATCAGATACCTGGTGAGCACATATATGCCATTGTGTACAGATGTCAGATCAGCTAGTTGTAAATAATTACTGTTTAATATCATAAACTTTTTATGCTAATTTAATGAAAATATGGACAAAAATGACTTTAAGGGAAATTTGTTTTATTGGTCACGCTCTCTATTCAGACCACCCAATATTATATAGTCCACAAGATGGTCTTCATAGCAAGCTTTAACTGTAGTTAGCAGTTTGAATGATACTGATATGTTAATGTCTTCATTTAAACTATTTCTTGCCTGGAATCATAATTAGTAGTGTAAATCTGACTGTGCCTTTAGATAGACACAGACAGTTGTTTCCAATGATAAAAGGTAAATATGGCATTTGATTTGCTTGTCATGAGAGATAATTGTCCAGTGTGTCTTTCTTACCTGCAATGTATTTCATTGAAGCATAATGGACATTTTAGCTATCATTTGACTCTTTAATGTGTTAGGTTTCATTTCTTTAAAGGTATTTTTAATGCCTTAATTGTATTATCCTCTATACCTTGATTTTTTTTCACTTTGAATATTTCATTAATTAAAATAATGGATAAAAGTGAGTAAAAAGTTAATTTGTGTTACCCAAGAATTTGTACTCCAATACTGAACACATTAGTAAAACTTATTTTGAATGTATCTACATGTATTTCCTATGTATATGTACTTTTTTGTATAGGTGTTCCCTTGTCAAAACTTATTCCATACAAACTTGTTGACAGGTGGTGAAGCTTGTATTATTTCCACTGCTGCAGCAGTGATGGGTATCGGATCTGATATAGGAGGCAGCATCAGGATGCCAGCTTTCTTTAATGGTGTGTTCGGGCACAAGGCATCTAGAGGTAATATCCTGTACAGTTACTGATATGTAAATCCTGACAGAGTCATACCCTTGAGACTGACACTTTTGTATGCTGACTTTTTATACCCCCGAGACTGACACTTTTGTATGGTGACTTTTTATACCCCTGAGACTGACACTTTTGTATGCTGACTTTTTATACCCCTGAGACTGACACTTTTGTATGGTGACTTTTTATACCCCTGAGACTGACACTTTTGTATGGTGACTTTTTATACCCCTGAGACTGACACTTTTGTATGCTGACTTTTTATACCCCCGAGACTGACACTTTTGTATGCTGACTTTTTATACCCCCGAGACTGACACTTTTGTATGCTGACTTTTTATACCCCTTTTTATACCCCTGAGACTGACACTTTTGTATGCTGACTTTTTATACCCCTGAGACTGACACTTTTGTATGCTGACTTTTTATACCCCTGAGACTGACACTTTTGTATGGTGACTTTTTATACCCCCGAGACTGACACTTTTGTATGGTGACTTTTTATACCCCCGAGACTGACACTTTTGTATGGTGACTTTTTATACCCCCGAGACTGACACTTTTGTATGGTGACTTTTTATACCCCTGAGACTGACACTTTTGTATGGTGACTTTTTATACCCCCGAGACTGACACTTTTGTATGCTGACTTTTTATACCCCCGAGACTGACACTTTTGTATGCTGACTTTTTATACCCCCGAGACTGACACTTTTGTATGCTGACTTTTTATACCCCCCGAGACTGACACTTTTGTATGCTGACTTTTTATACCCCCAAGACTGACACTTTTGTATGCTGACTTTTTATACCCCTGAAACTGACACTATTTTCCTAGGCAGAAGTTTCGGTGGTAGATTTCATCCACTGAATAGAGACATTCAAATTATCATTCAGTTTCATGAATTAACTTCTGATCCATTATGCTACAGGCTCCAGATTCGTAATAAACTTAAGAGAAAATAGTTGCTTGGAACAATAATGATGAGGAGGTTAATTTTTCTAATTTCTCAAAAATGAATCAGATGTGAGCATGCTATTTACTAATTGTATTTAGTAATACACACTAGAACATTGAATGTTTAACAACATATGAGTTGCCTGTATCAGGTTTGGTACCTAATGAGGGACAACACCCAATGGCCACTGGAGAGGAGAGGGATCTACTGAGCACAGGTCCTATGTGTCGTTATGCTGAAGACCTGCTTCCACTACTAAAGGTGTTTGCTGGACCTGAGTCAACACAGAAGGCTAGACTTAATGACCAGGTAACCCACAAACACAACCACAAATCTACAATCAATTGCCCTTCAATTTCAACATATTGCATTTAGTCAAAAATATTTTAAAAAGTGGGTTCTCATTTATCACTGAAAGTTTTTGTTTAAAGGTACATGTATATAGAATTTTCTCTTCCATACAATTTGAGACCTGCACAGTCAGTGAAATAATTTTCCATAAAAGCCTTTCTTTTTGTGATTATTACAGGTAGATCTACACTCATTGAAGGTATACAGTATGTTGGATGACGGGGGTAGTCTGCTGGTCAGCCCAGTAGACAAACAACTCAAAGAAGCACAATGTAAGGTAAGACAGCATACAGCACTGATAAATTCAAATTACAGGTGACATGAATTGTAAACCACTGAAGACTTCAAAATCTTCCAATAAATAGTGCTTTCTTTCTATCACACAATGGTACCAAAGATATATGGCAATCAAACAACATATCCCATATAAATTAATTTGCAAAAGAACTAATTTCATGTCTTTTGTTATTTCAGTATTCCATTTTTAAGTCTTTCCATTATACATCAAAATTTCACTGTTCTATAGGTGGAGAAGTACTTAGAAGAAAAGCTGAAATTGAAGGTGGAAAGAGTAAATTTACACCGAATGAAGTATGGTTTGGAAGTATGGACGGCAAAAATGAACACTGGAGGTGGAAAAAAATTTGCAGAGCTTATGAGTGATGATAATGGCAAAGTTAACTGTGTGGTTGAGCTCTTTAAGTGGTTAGTTGGTTGTTCCCAACATACACTGCCTGCCATAAGTCTGGGGCTTTTTGAGAAAATCCAAATACCAGAAACAGACAAGAAATTCCTGCGAGTCTTTAAGAAACTAGAATCAGATGTTACCAATTTGCTATCTAATAATGGAATTCTACTTTATCCTAGCCATCCCAAGGTTGCCCCATATCACAATGAACCTATACTGTATCCTTTTAACTTTGCCTACACTGGTGTGTTCAATACTCTTGGTCTTCCTGTGACCCAATGTCCTTTAGGCTTGAGCAAGGAAGGCTTACCTTTAGGTCTACAAGTCGTGACTGGAATGAATAATGACAGGTACACCATAGCACTTGCGAAGGAGATAGAGAAAGCCTTTGGTGGGTGGGTGAAACCATAATGTTTTATTACTGGGTATTGTATTATTTAATGGGATTAAAGATATCTTCTTCCTCTTCTCAATCACTCTACCATTTTATTTTGTGTAATTTTTTCAGAGTTTTAATTTGTTTCCATAATCAGATCTTTCTTTCATACAAATTTTATAACAAATAGGAGACTTGGAAGATTGTACAAAAAGACACACAAATGAATAGCTCCAGTTGATAAAACGTTAGAGTGAGATAAGAGCTGAATAATGAAGTAAACTGCCTAAATTTTGAAGTCAAAGGTGACTTAGGAAAATCAAAAATAATGGAAAGAAAAGGCTCATAATGCAATAAATAATAAATTTAGTGAATGAAAATGAGAGGTTCCTCTTTAGGCTGCCATTTCAGTATTTATACCTGCTAAACAGGGAGAAAAACGTTGAAAAGATTACAGTCTTTTAACATTTTCATATATTTTATGTGTTTTATGTATTGCACAACAAAACTATGATGTATGTTAATAGTAATTGTACAAATAAGGGTAGGGCTTAGTTATGTATTTTGGCATGTTTTATTTAGGAGTATCCTAAGCATAATAAAGGGACATGAGATGAAACTGGAGAAGGGATCCCACATGCTTTTTTTTTTTTTTAGTTTTGAAATCTTTTAAAGTTACGTATTACTTTAAGTAAAAAGAACATTTATTTCATAACAACCCAGTGTCAAATCACCAATTGCGTACTTCATGTGAACACATATTTAATAACATAATAATTTAATGATTGAATTAATTGAGACAGTTTAAGTCTAATAAGGAATAATTTTGCAGCTGTAATTTTATAGCTGTTCATTAATACCTGGGCAAATAAAGTGTACCTTTAAAAGGAAAGTTTGGAAAAATAAAAATCTAAAAATGATTTTGTTAGAGTATAGAAAGGGAAATGCACTTCAAAACTTAATTAGTGTGATAATGATGAATATTTGTTGATTGTAACTAAACATCATATGTAAATGTTGTATGTTCTGAACTGCTGCATTTAATTATAAGAGTCCAGATATAGTTTGAAGGTAATTGCATATTTAAAGATTGCAACATCAACTAGTAGAGCTTAAAGCTTGATATTTGGATGAGATTGTACAAAGACATACCTCATACATACATAGCATCTTAGAAATTCATTTGAAAAAATATAGTTAAGAGGCATGCATGTATAACAAACTATATTATTTGTAACTGTGATATTTATAGATCAAATTTGTAATGTTGGTTTTAATGTGATACTACTGATATGACATGTTATTTGATTTCTAAAGACGACATCCAATGATTTTGGTTACAGGGTATATTCTCTAGATCTAAAGATAATGAGAAAAGCAAATAGGGTCTTCTGTATTGATATTATAATGAAAATTGTTGTATCTTTTAAATAACCACCTATATTTCATTATTTCTGTAAAATTGTTACATGAAAAGGAAAGCTAATTTTAATATCACTCTTGGTTTGAAAGCTTTGAGGTTGCTGACAATGCCAATAATATTATATAGGTGCTAGTGTACTCTTCCCAAACTGCTATCAGTACCAGATTACATATAAACTATTACAATCGTCATAAATGTTCTTTTTTTATCTGTGTTCATATTGTGATATTACTATTCACTAGATAGATTTTTTATTTTTTCTTTTTGTTTTAAATAGCTTATCTCTACTTAAACATTCAGATGATAAATACATGTATTAAAAATGTCATTTTCAATTCCATTTTTTTATGAGTGATATAACTGGTTTCTTATTTTAATGGAAATGTCAGCTCATACAGATAATAGAAAATGTGTGAGAAAGGTTTCTTAGGTGTTTCTTACTTTATGTAACAGACTGAAATAAACTGAAAAGTACAGTACACAAGAACATGCATGTCAACAAATAAATCTGTTTGTAATCTCAACATCGAAAAGTATCTGGAGGACACCAAAATATTTTTGTTACTGAAGCTGAATCTTAACGGAAAGTATGAACAAAAAATCAAAGGACTTTCTCTGGTTGTGGATAGTCATCATCTGAGGTCAACCACAAGTCGATAACGATAAAGATTGATAATCAATGATTATGTTTGTAAAATTGGTCAAACCAGTGAAGTATCTGATTAATCAGGTAGCTGTAGAGGCAAGCACTAATACTTTTTATCACAGTAAAAGAAAGCTTAAATCTAAACTGAAGGAAATACATGACAATAATATTTATTTTGTGTGCTCTTTGTCAGGCAATATTGGTTTAAGATAATAAGAAAAATAGGTATTCAAATAACAAGGAAAGATGTTTGCCATTTCTAAAAATCTATATACACAATCTATGTCAATATCTTCCTTGCACCTTTTGGCTGGAACTCTAGATCTCCAACAGTGTTAAAAATGTTTTAGTTTTTTTTTAATGACTTCCTGGTCTGTTTTCTTTCTGTGGCGTGATTTATATATGGTAGTGTAAATTTTGAATGACATTTGTTCTTAAATATAAAGATAATATCTTCAATTCGTGACAACCTTGTTGTAAAGGGTAAAATTGATGACATCATCCCTGTTTATCACAGTACCAGTTTAAGATGGATTTACAGAGCATTATGGGTGTGACGTGCACATTTTGTCTCTAATAATAATTTCAGAGAAACCTAATCCATTCATTCAATTTTGAATTTTCTTCAATAGCTGTTTAATGTTATTTTGAAGTCAGTTTTTAATTAATCGTCAGTATTTTTTTGTATCATAAACATAGTTTCAAATGTGCAATTAATCCGTCAGAGCAGCTTGAAATATCTTGTTTAATTATGATAAAAGTTTGTCAATATCATATCAATATGCTGTTATACCACGCTGATACATTTATATTTCCTCGAAATCAGAACGGTAATTTTAAAAAAAGCTTGAAAATATATTTATAATTATCAAACTTACATTCCTGAAGTTTTTTCTTCATATTGGACCAAACAACAGTATATATAGACAGTCTTAGTAGTAATGCTTCAGACTTAGTGCATATTGCAAATTAATCAAATTTATCTTATCAAAGTTTACACCAGTTAAGTTAACATTATTGACAATTATCAATGGAATCATAATCAGATTAATTAAACAGATATTTAAACAATCCTTTGCCATGTTTCATAGTTTTATTTATCACATCACCAGCTTGTTATCCAGTGAATTCACCCATGTGATGCCTTTCCCATACCACAAGTGTAATATACCCTACAGAACTATCTATAGGTATTGCCAGTCAGAAATCGATTGAGATGTCCTAATATGGACCATGATATAATGTGAGGGATTGAAAATGGCGTAACACTATGGCTACCTCTGTTTGATTTTGTCATCCTGTCAGAAAACAAATTTTTGTAATTATGTGATAAAAAAGTATCTTTAGTGCTCAAAAAAACAAAAACTTCTTTGGCATGTTAAAAAAAAATCTCAAATAAAGAGAAATTTCATTTAATATCCTATATTTGCATGTCATTGTTTATTATATTTTGTTTTGCATATGTCTATCCAATCAATAAGTAAATGTGATTGATAAGACTTTCACTAGTTTTGAAGGGATAATGACCTCACCTTTACTTGGTTATGTAAAACATAAGTAACTCGACTAGAAATTGCATGGTTTACATTTGAATGTTTTTTCTAAGCAGAGCGAGTGAGATATTTTTTGTAGGATCTCAGTAAAAGTATTGGTGAATATTATGTCTTATTCTAATGATCATAGTCTCTACTGATACTGGTATTAAGTATTTAATTGGCATTTTCTTCATAAACATGAACTGCTGATTCTACTAATCAAATTAGGTTTCTATTTGAATCTAAAAATCATACATTTTCTACATACCTTGGTAACAATTGCTACATACCTTGGTAACAATTTCTACATACCTTGGTAACAATTTCTACATACCTTGGTAACAATTTCTACATACCTTGGTAACAATTGCTACATACCTTGGTAACAATTTCTACATACCTTGGTAACAATTGCTACATACCTTGGTAACAATTTCTACATACCTTGGTAACAATTGCTACATACTTTGGTAACAATTTCAAACCTTGGTAACAATTGCTACATACCTTGGTAACAATTTCTAACCTTGGTAACAATTTCTACATACCTTGGTAACAATTTCTAACCTTGGTAACAATTTCTACATACCTTGGTCACAATTTTTACATACCTTGGTAGATATATTTTGATGTACTTATGTTCCCATTTAGTATATTTATTTTATAAATCAACCTGTTTCTGTATACAATATTTTAAATGATTTTGTCTGATTTGACTTACGTGGTCTACAAGAATACTAATACTCCCTGATCATGTATTAATGTCGGAGTTGATGAGGTCAGATGATACAGGTATGGTTACAAAATTAACTTTATTGAAGTTTCAATGTCATTACAGCTCAGGGCAATAGTATAAGTGTTGCAATATTTCTGAAAGGATTTTTAGCATGTTTTAATGCTATCTTGTGGTAGATGGTATTTGTTGTATGAATGCTGTGTAAATGCTGTATTTATGATTTGAAAGTTTCAGGAAAATATAGTTTTGACAACAATTCAAATAAGGTTAGTTGATTTCTGTGATAATGATAATGTAGTTTTCTGTGATAATGTATGGACAACAATTTTCTCTGCTCAGTATTTTTTGTTTTTTTCAGTAATTGTTGTATGGGTTTTTAAGAATACAATCATGATTTTCCCTCTTAGTCTACACAAATCATTTATGAATTTTTACTGAATAAAACTGGGATATTGCCATATAGTGTTGACTCATTTTTTCTAATTTCCGTATACATTATGAAAGTTAAGAAATTTACTGATGTGTTTAATTTGTTTATCTTTTTCAAATAGTATAGAACATGATTCCATTACCTTCCAAAAACGTTACAAATTATATAGAAACGTTATTATCCTATAAATACATACAATAATACAACACTACACTTGAGGAAAGTTGGAAATATATAACTAAAAAGATTTAAATGTACAGTAATGTCAATATGGAACTTTAAGTATATTGAAATAATATTTCAACAAAAGATAGCACTTCCGTGTAGTACTTCATATAGTGTTAGTAACAAAACCACACATATTTTATAACCTATCATTAATGCTATCGCTACTGTAGGTAATGTATTCCAAATGAAATGATCGTCCTTTAAACTTTGGTAAAATTCAATTCAAATTTGGATTATTGATTTAATCCTTGGTAGGCTATTTTTTGTATTGATTTCTATACTAATTGGCTTTACGCTTACATCATCTCCCTGAAGTATTGAACTAAAATAAGTATTTGGAACTTTTAAGTTTGTACTACAGACACACAAATGATAGCACCTTTTGATACAAGTTCAGAGTTCGACACAATAAAGCCAACCATTAAATAAAACTGCATCACATAGCTGTTTTGTCCTTGAATGACTCATCGGTGATGTTAAGAGCCTACATTTTTCAGTCTAGGAGGCACAGACATTATTTTAAGACCGCATCAAATACATGTGTATTTTATCTGAACCATGCCACTATTTGAATTATCTTAAATGCAATTTCAAAGATTATATAAAAGTCACACAATTGAATAACACCTCTTAATCCACATTTAGAATTTCTGGATTAGCCTAAGCCAGAAACTCCAATTTTTTGTATACTGAGAATTTAAATAATTATTACTTTATAAAGAATTCATACTACCTATAAATTCCAAAGCAAACACATTATTTACTTAAACATATCTAAAAGTATTGTTTAAATATACAGTGATGAATTAAATTTTCCTTTATGACAAATGTCGCGACGTGCAAGGTATCATGTAGAGTCAAAAATGTTGATAACGCACTTTTCTTCCCCATGAAAATTTTGAAAAATTGGCAGGTATACATCGGGGATTTGTAAATACTATCATTAATATTTGATATATGGAATAGTTATGCTAGGGGAAGGGTGGGGGAGCTCGTGTTACATACATTTATCACTGGTTACTTAACATCATTTTCAGTAAAATTCAAAGCATGTCCCCCAGACACAT